CCCTGGCCGCATAGGGTGTAATTTAATCTCACGGCATAAGAGCCGTTTCTAAGGTGAGACGCTGTCTATGCGTCGGCTGACCATGCCGTGCTGGGGCAGCGTTAAGAACATCTTCTCGATATATACTTGTCCGAATATATAAATCGTCGAGAGGTATAGAAAAGTATAGTTCGCTATGGCGTCCTGGGTCTCAATGCTCCCCCCCCCGTGTAAGGAGAGGCTCCGTCTCTTTTTTTCTGGCCCTTGGAGGATACTGCCTGATTTGAAGCAAGCTAGTTTGGGTCTGGTATGACGGTGTCGGCCGTCGAACCGCGTCGTCGTCGACGGGCTTCGGTGGCGGCGGCAGCGGCGGCGGTCCGGCGGCGGTCCCGTAGGTGTAGCCGTTGGAGGATGTGCTCTGCTCCGTGGTGGTGTCGGACTCGGCGGCCGTCACCGACTCTTCGTCGACGGGAAGCTCGGGGTGTGACGAGGCATCCCGGGTACGGGTGGCCTCGTCCTGGAGGGCGTCTCGCCCTCCGGGCGGCGGTCTGCTAGCGTCTTCTGTCGCCATCTGACCGAGACTGTTCGGTCTATACAGAGGCGTAGAGGATGGTGTGCCAAGGGAAGATGAGGATGAGGCGACGCAGGGAGATTTATCGGATGCAGCGGATCGTGTGGAGGAAACGGCATGAATCATACGGGGCAAAGACAGCACGGACAGTGGGCAAGACAAAAGAAACAAGTTAGCGTGGCAGAGAGGCACGTTTTCCGCCTGTGGAACGGACGCCCTCTGATGATGACATCTATGACATCCATGAATAGTAATCACGGGCGAATTTGCGGAGGGGAGCGGACTTTGAGGGCTCGGATGAAACTCCGTTGTCCGCTGAAACTACTCCCAGCGGAAAATACCGTCTTGGTCCCAACTTTGCCTGTAGTGCTGGAGGACGATATGATATGAGCCACACGAACCCGAGCTGGCACAGCACGTTGTGTAAAGAGTCCACCGTGTTCCCCCAATCCATCAACCCCAGCTCATGCGACCCCCTTTTGGATTCTCGCCAAAGGGCGTTGACGAGTTTTCGTGGCGTGGCCCGCGTAGTCATTGTCAAAGGGCCAGATGCGGACGCCCGCAACGAAAAGCTCTAGCGCCGCACCACAGCATAAACCGCGTGCAATGCACTTAATGTTCATCCTGCGCGGCTGGGGTTTGTGCAAACGCGGCACTAACGCATCCATCGCCCCGTTAACTAATTCTCAGAACCTGCGCCACCCAACGCTTTTGGTAGTGTGGAAGGCCCGTTAGAGGGACTCGGCAATGCTAGGCCTCGTCCGTTGTTGTGAGCGCGTTGTGGATGCGAAAGGTGCTGACTAGTCAAGCGTTTGGGCCTGCGCGGAGCCGTGGACGCTCTTGAAACGAATACGCGCCGAAAATACTAAAGATGGCGGTAATGGTGTTTAGTCTTCTGGGGTACAAGTATACGTTCCAGTTCTCAAGTGTGTTGAAAGACGGCTGAGGAACACGAGGTTATCAACGTTGTTCAAGTCATTCAAGATGAGCTAGAATACATTGGTGAACGGAGGCATATCAAACAACCTAGATGGGAACACGTGAATGTGTTGTTGATAGAAGTTGTCCCGAGTTAGAGCACACAGCAGGGCTTAGGATGATTGAGGTCTAAAAGGCTTAATTGAGAGTAATTGAAGGTAACGAAAGTAAGGTCCTATATATAGGGAACGAATGTAAAACACCACGTGATAAGGCACCTGACAGTGCTGTTACAGGAGGTGGAAATGCATGAAGCTATCGTGACAGAAGCTGTGTGACGAGTCGTGCATTTTCCCTCTAGCTGCGGTGAGATTTCAGACACACAACTCGGCCCAAACCGTCGTCTCGTCTGCAACGCTAAAAATAGTCGCGAAGAGATAAGTCCAATAAACAATTGGAATGCATTTGCTGCTTCGTGCTGTAGTGGCACCTCATTCTACAGTTCAAGGACAATTATGTCACCTTGAATTGTCCACTTTAATCGAGGCAAATGACGTCTAAGGTGAGACGACAGTAAGCAGGGTGAGTGTAGTTTACCATATATATATGTGCATGCTCCAGCCCTAATGACTTACCATTCTAGGCAGAGTTAATAGCTATATTCCTTACCAGGCGGGGGTTTTGACGGCTGGTTTAACGTTAAGATCTTTTTGTAACCTTTAATAGTGTGTCGCTTTGACCATAGCCTACCGATGTAGCGGTACGTCGATTCACAGAATATTCCTCTCTATCTTGCTTTCTTTCAGTTATTAAGGTCTGATTTCTAAGAGTTGCTTTCGCCGAACTGTTGCTACCTCAACAAGCCTTATAACCGGGACTGCAGCAGTGGCCACGTTTCGGACATGCGCTACTGGAAGCTGTCCCGCCTTGCTGGGATTTTCATGATAATCCCTGTTTGCAAATCCTCCGGCCTCTAACTCTCGCCAATCCCAGCAACCAGTAAGCTGGCACCAGCGCTGAATCCTACAGTGACATGTAATAAGTCTGGGCTCATGAGCAGCGGCCGACCACACCCTTATGGAGTTCCGTTTTAGCATAGTATATCGTAAGAGGACAGCGAATTTACAAAGAAATGCCCCGCCCCGTGGATTTGAGTGCAATAGATTCTAATTAATATCAAATGTGTCTATGTCTACTCTTTAAACCAACTTAAATCTATCTCTCCTCGTATCTGTAATAAAGATACTGGATGGACTACCTCTGCAGGCAAGTCTAGTAACTCAATAGCATAAGCGCGAGAGTTAACAACTGTTGAAATAAGAGGTTCCGAGATAACTTCGAGATTGTATCGAGTATACTTATCAGCAACCATCTGCCAATTGCGAATCGTATCAGATCCCAGCTTGAGGTCCCATGTTCCACGCCACCCGATACGAGTAGAGTTTGATTTAACGTGATAGAAAAACTTGAAAGCTTCGCCCTTATAACTATTCCACATTACCAATGTGTGTAAGTGAGGGATTGAGAGTGCGGTTTTAGCAGCACTGTTCAAGAGACGCATTACTTTGTGACTTTCCCTTTGGGTAAGTCTTGATGTAAGAGTTAGAGATCTCATATTGATCCAGATCCAATCCTGTTGGCATGATTGAAAAAAGTCCGAAGCGTCAACCATAAATGCAACTGAGAGCTGCTCGAGACCAAGACTTCTTTTTGCGAAGGCAGCGCTGACCGCAGGTGATGTAACTCTGACTGTATCAGAACCAGGTTGGAACAAGGTAATATACTTCTCGTTGGTATCTTCAAATACTGATATTTTCTTGACTGTGTGTGGTAAATGGGATTCAACAAGGTTTAAATATCCTATAAAAGAATTAGTTAGTTAATAAAGCATAGTAAATATCTTGAATATGAATAAGTATTGCATCCTACCAGGGTCCAGACTAAGTGCTTGTGCGAAGCTATCCCAGCTTTGCCATGGCTCATAAATTAATGATTGTAATCGAGGAAGCTTATCAAACAGAGACCCAAGAAGTTGGGGCTCAATCTGTCTCCGACATTGTCGACGAAGTATAAATCGTGTTACCGCGTTAACTCGAGGGAGGTCTTCTCTGATCTTAAAGTCAAGAGGCTCAAAGATTCGTCTTATAGCCGACGTATCAGGGTCATTAATCTGACGACCATTCTCCCAACCATGTCGAGAATCGTGAAATAAACGTTTTGAGTGGCTATCATGTGGTTGACGACGAGACCAGTCGAACGTCAAATCGTCATCTTCATCGCCGAAATAAAGGTTCTTGAAGAAATGCTCTTTATCACTGGGAGACTGAATACTAAGCTCCAGTGTGAGATCGGCTCCCTCTTTTACCGGCCAGCAAGATAAGATAGAAAAAAGCTTCACAATTGCTTGCTTGGCCAGCCTATTGTTGCTGCAAAACCATGAATAACTTTCAGCGAATTGACAACTTCGACATGTGTATGGCCTTAGTTTGATATTTAGCCAGATATGTTTGATAAGCCGTGCTTTTCTTGCATCAATCATGGTTTCCATATCAGCTAAACATGTTTGTTGTAGCTTCAGCTGCCGAAAGCTTTCCTTTTCCAAAGTGGCCTTCCACTCCTTACAAACAGAAGCGCAGGCGCCCCAACCTGAAGTTTGTCGTGCAAGGAGTTCAAGGATCATCTGCCGCAGTTCTGCGGGCAGAGAACCCCAAGTCAGTATATATGTCGGTATAGTGTTATGGGGCTCGGAGCCTGACGTCAGAGCTGTCTGGGTCAACATGGTTGGTTGTTTATTGGATGGTCGTGGGCTTTGTGTTCTTTGGTCGAGATCGAGGCGTTGGTGACAGTAGATTCGGCCAGATTCTTGGCGTGGAAGCTGGACTTTTATGCCCGCTGGACAGCCATCCCGCAAGGTTCCCAAGAACCTTGGTAGAAGGTTGAGGGTCTCCCCGTTGAGGAGTTATCACCGCAAGCCACACCGTTAGAGTCATAGCTTTGGGTGAGAACACCCTTTCGATTTGGTGATTAGGCCTGGCGGGCTGGCCTTAATGGCCGTACACTGCCTACCTTCATTATGTTTACCGAGAATATTGTGAGCGTACACAATAATACCTTGCTGTTAGTTAGCAGCAGACTTTCCTAGACTCACAGTAGCCACCTACCTGCTCTTCGCGTAAGCCAAATACAACGCACCGGGTCCTGCAAATGATTTATGCTAGGACTTAATGTGATCTATTAAAGCAGCCAATGTTCCGATAGGAAAGTCACGAGTGAAGCGATCGCTGAAAACGGACCGCATCTTTAAGGCGCTGAGAAAAACTCTGCAGAGCCCTCTCCCCTTCCCAGAAACCAAAATCAAGCACATGGCCGTTACCATACATACAATCTGGATCCATGTAATACGTCTCCTAATCTATTTTATTCGTCTTCGATACAGGGTTTAGGCAGAGGGTCCGGCGGCGTCCTTTGAGACTATGATAATAGATGTTGGATTAAACCCAGATTAGCGACACATAGGGCTTCCAAATGCGTACGGAAGTCCTCATGCCGTTGTCCCCGAACACAGAGAGGATGAGAAAGACAAGTTCCATTCATTCAAAAACATTCGGCATGTATGCTAGACCAAAATGTTGCCGGGCAGGGGAGTTGCTCCTGAGGAGCTCGTGGGCGACTTCAATACTGGGTTACTGTGTCCGCCGGTTGATGCCCAGCTACACCAGCCGGTCAGCGAAGGGAGGTAAAACTTGAAGGCCGGCAGTCCCTCCCATCATGCTTGCTCGTTGATTCCAGATAGGAACCCTAAGCGGTCATACTAGAAGACGATCTGGAATGGCCCGAAAACTAAGAGTCTTAACCGTTGCTCTTGTCTGTCTTCACTTTCAATCCAATATGTACCGGTGTATAAACATAATATATCAGGTATCATTAGCCTTTTCCCCTAATTGCACGACTTCCAAGCGGCGGTAAACAACGCCGTTTTGCTAACCTCCAATGCCGAAATTGTTACCCGCTTTCCCCTCACAAAGAATGCGGATGGATGCTGGGGGCCCCCTTGTGTGGGTTTGACGGCGTGGTGTTCCGAGTTCCGATTTCCGGACAGCCAGTACACTTCCCCGTGGCTTCGTCACTCACTGGGATTATATGAGACCAGTGGCCATCAAGGCGTGGTGATCTTCGTTGGGATTACACATTTTTCATGACCATTTGAGTTTTTACGTGAGAAAATGGCAGACAAAACGGATGTTGAAGCCATCCTCGAAGCCTGACCCTGGAAGAGAAGGTAGATAACATCAGGCTTTGCAGTAAACGTGAGATGATTGCTGACCCCTCTTCACTCGCAGTTCCGACTCCTCGCAGGCCGCAGCTTTGTCGAGACTGGTCATGTTGCTGAGAAAGGAGTTCCAGCCACCAAGGTTAGAAATACACACAAACAAACACACACACACACACACACACACAGACGTACACCAGACACTAAGCGTTCGTCCAGACCACCGATGGCCCCAACGGCACGCGCGGCGCCGCAATCGACGGGAGCACAAAAGCCGCCTGCTTCCCCGCGGCATGCGCATGGGCTTTGCCCTCGAGTCGGACCACGACGCTGACGGGCGAGGCCGCCCGCGTCGCCGCCGGGGCCGATCTCGCCGTCGTCTTCACCGGCCACGACCCGCAGTGGGAGACCGAGGGCCGCGACCAGGAGTCGTTCCACCTCCCCTGCGGTCGGGACGCCCTCATCGACGCCGTGGCGACCGCTAACGCGAAGACCGTCGTCGTCAACTCGACGGGCGTCGCCGTCGCCATGCCCTGGCTCGGCCGCGTCTCGGCTCTCGCCCAGGCCTGGTTCCCCGGCCAGGAGTGCGGCAACGCCATCGCCGACGTCCTCACCGGCGCCGTGAACCCCAAGGGTAGGCTCCCCGTCAGCTTCCCGGCGCACCTGAAGGACGCACCGGCGCACGGAAGTTTCCCAGGCGTGCGCGGCGCCGACGACAATGTGCTCCGCGTCGAGTATGCCGAGGGCGTGTTCGTCGGGTACAGGCACTACGACCGCGTCGGTGCCAAGGTCCTGAACTTCCCCTTCGGCCACGGCCTCTCGTACACAACTTTCGAATATGCCGACTTCCGGGTCGTCCGGAGAGGAGATGCCACCGCCACGGACGGATTCGAGATCTATGTCGACGTTTTCAACACGGGCCAGGTCGCCGGCGCGACCACCGTGCAGATCTACGCTGGAAAGGAGGAGGGGACGGCGGACACGCCTGTCAAGGGCCTGGTGGCGTTTGACAAAGTGAGGCTGCAGCCTGGGGAGAGGCAGACTGTAAGGCTGGAGGCCTTGACCAAAGATCTCCCCTCGTTTGACGAGGCAGAACGGCTGTGGAACGTAGAGGCGGGAGAGTATACGTTCTACCTCGTCGAGTCCTCGGCCAAGACGATACAAACCGTTTCCGTAGCTTTAGAGAGGATCACGTACCAGCGGTGACAGTGTTGCCAGTAGGAGTAAAAACTCACGACCCATGGCAGTGATATTAGCTATACAAGTATCATGCCCAATACTCATCGCCGTATGAAAAAGTTTCTGAATAGGAACACGATGTCATGGAATCTCGCAGCCAAACCTCAAGAAGAAGCCAATGAGATTGTTAAGTTTTTCCCACGAAGGATCAGTTCAGCCCCAAATCTCCTTCACGCCCGGGGCGAGGGGTCATGCGCCACCACATGTTCTCTATCGTTGCCGAGTTCACTATGCCGTAATAAGCGGTTCACTGGCAAGCAAGACCTCGTATATCCTTCTTCAGGCGTCTTGGCAATGATTGGCGCACCTTTATTAAGACGCCTCCTTCATTCCTCACGGACTCATCTTCGAGGTGCACCTCACACCCGGTCACCACCGACTCTCGCGGCCAGACACGCATCGGAGAGCCCATTATGCCGTAAGCCCAACTGCAGCAGAGCCAGGACCTCTCGATCTCGCTCGTCAGCCCGCCCGCGCGCCTTCACGGCGGCAGCGTCGTCGAGGGCCAGGTCATACGCAGACTTCACATCGTCGCACCGTCCGCCACCGTTGTCGTGCGGCTCCACGGCCGCGCCAAGGCGAAGCTCTCCGTGGACCGCGGCAACAACGACAAGAGCCACTATCGCGGCCGTTTTGACTTCTGGCCCGGCGAAGCTGTGTGCGAGGTCCTCCACCGCGGCCCCATCCACATCGCCCCCGGCGCCGGCGAGCACCAGGCCTGGACCTTCACGCTGACCCTGCCCACGTACACGGATGGTAGGTACATCAACGCCACCAGGAGCTCCAGCGCGCGGCAAGCCTGCTTCCTCCCCCTCGCCGACGGCGCCGGAGAGATCCCTGGAACGCCGCTGCCCGGGAGCTTCTATCTGGACTGCAGAGGTTTCTCCAAGAGCTGGCACGCGTTTGTGGAGTACTGGATCGAGGCCGAGCTGTCAGTGCAGGGAAAAGGCCCCGTAGCTAGGGCCGTGCTGCCCATCAAGGTCTTCTCGCCGCCCACGCCGGCGCCGCCGATCAGCGACTTCGGCCTGGCGCGGCGGACCATCTCCGGCTGCGTGACCAGCCAGCGGCTGTTTCCGGGGATGGAGGAGGCACAGCTCTCCTTGAAGCAGAAGACGCACAAGTTCTTCGGGTCCTCCAAGGTGCCGGCTTTCCACTTCACGCTCGACGTCCGGTCTCCCACCGTCATACAGATGGGAAACGACACCAGCATCCCGTTCCTGCTGCAGCTAAGACCCGACGGCGAGAGGACCACAGACGCTATCCGGGATGTGCCGCAGACCGTCACCATCCAGAGCATGAAGCTCGAGATACAGTCGAGAGACGAGGTTATCTGCCCGGGTACCCTGAGTCCCCACGAGGTGGGCGGGACGCTGACGAAGTGCATAGCCAGGATAGATGGCTTTTACCCCCAAAGGCACAAGATAGTGATGTCGTCTGGACCGAAGGAAGAGCCTCTGGACCTCGGTGCCGTGCTGAACTTGCGGGTGGACGCCCTGGGCCGGGTCCTCCACGGGGGGGGCGAGTGGCGCGAAAGCACCGGCAGGGAGGTCCTGCCGACGTTTGTGACGTACTGTATCAAGATCCAGCATACGCTGCACTGGAAAATGCAACTATCCATGGCGGGGGAGTCGTGGAGGTGCCAGGGAGCCCAGAGGCTCCTCATCCTGGCCCCTTGCGAAGATATGGCCAGCGGTAGGGTTGAGACCTCTGCGATGGCTGCGCTGTCGTTGGTGCCGCCCCCGCCTGTCGTCGAGGAGGCGCCAGCCTACGATGGGCCTAAAGAGGCGGCGCCGGCGTATGAGAAGGTGGGCGGAGACGGGGAAGACAAATCGGCAGTAGAAGGTAAGTCGTGAGAAGTTGTGCATGGGAGGGGAGAGGCGTATGATACCGAGAGCAAAGACAAGGGGCAATCCGGGGACAGGATTAGCTGGGAGAGCAAAGCACGAGTGCATGATTCTAATGATAATTGAAATTCTATTTCTGCCAAATAATGTCCAAGTTTTGGGGTTTTGTTGATATATTATTACTTAGAACAGTGAATAGTAGTCACACTATGAATCATTATTCCATCCCGTTTTCGTTGTTATTAATAAAAAATCTAACAATAAGGCTAGAACGATTATTATTTATCGTTGCTTTTCTCGCCAGACTTAGTCTCTGGCTTTACTTAGGTCCTACAATATCGACTTCTCGTCCTGCTCAACACTAGTTGCATCCGTGCTTTGTCCATTAGACGCTTCATCAGAGGAATCCCCGTCACTCTCTGAGATGGAGATAATTTTCGTCATGTAGTCGGGGATTGATGAATTCCCTTCTGCGAATCTGACCGAGGTCTGTCGTGGTACATAAGGTTGATCCTGTGGGAATGAAATCAACACGGCAATCCCCAATACCGAAACGAGGTGTTGACTTACTGTGTATGTGTCTATAACCCCCGAAGAACGAGCTTGTGCTCCAGTGACATCCGGTAACGAAGAGATAATGTTTGATAACTCGCGGCATATCACGTCAATTGAATACCTCCCTTTTGGATCAATAACGAGCATATGTGCGGTAATCAATTCCAGCATCTGGCGGGCGAAAGACGTATTACATGGTGCTAGCTCCTTTATCTTAAGAATCCACTGTTGATGACCCGGAAGTTAGCAATGATGTATTTGGGAATATGATTATTCTGAGGGGACGTTATACTCACTGTGTCAATCGCCGGGTGGAGCACAGCTTTCTTCCTCCCAGCAGACAACTTCGTCACGAAGTAGCTATTATCGAACTCTCCTGGCTCCATGGCCTCCTTTGAGCGATTGGGTCTGCGCTCTCTTTCAAACTCTGTAGCAACCCTTGGGCCAAACAGGTACCAGACGCAGAATTCGAGGAAAACACACCCCAGAGACCATATATCGTACTTTGGGGAGATGAGATCGCCGAGATCTACCTCTGGAGCACGATAGGTCCCAGTAAAACCGTCAACCCTCAAGACGCGCGACCTTGTCAAGCGAGAATGGTACCGGGTAAGCCCCAGGTCTGCAACGACGAGATGGTCATGGTCTTCCCCGTACTTGGAAAACCACAAGATGTTGCTCGGCTTGATATCGCCGTGCCGTCCCCAATCCTTGATAAGGCTCTCCTCTTCCTCGGTACTGGAAGCTGTTGACCTTCTTTCTTCCTTCTGCCACGTTGTCAGACCGTGGATGCGTTTGACGGCATTTGCGATGCCCCGACACTGCTGCAGCATCCATCTTGCCGATACTGCCGACGACTGGACCTTTTTCTTGGCCCAGAACTCCTGTAAGTTGCCGTCCGCCCACTCAAAGACAAGATACAGCCTTTCCCCGTGCTGGAAGCTGAACATGAGCTTGATCAGGTGTTTTTCTTTTTGCACTCTATTGCACGAGTGTAGGAGTGCTCGGAGTTCTTTGCTGTAGGATTCGTGGTCGGCGGCGTGGATCTCTTTGACTGCAAAGCACTGAGGATGCTTCGGTTTCTTTCCAGGGTCTGCGGTTAGCCGCCCATCAACCAACACGCATTGAGGATACGGGGCCTATCTCACACTGTTGCCTTTCAAGTTATAATGGCTCTCATGAATTTGAAGCTGGTGGACTATTCCATGCGCGCCTCTTGCCCTATGTTGATAAGTTTCCCATGGGAGTCGAACGTCATGATCCAAGATGTGAATGCGGATTGGGCCATCGTCCATGTCGAAAATCGGCACGACAATCATCTGCTGGTAAATGTAGAACAGATCGACGTGGACGCGCTCCCACCCCTTGAACAGCGTCTCGTTTATGTCTTCAACTTCATCGGCTTCAGCTCTGGTTCGGAAATTTCTCATGCTTTCTCTCGTGTGACGCAATGGCATGTGGTGGTCAAAGATGCCTTCCCGGATGAAGTCATCAATATGACTGGTCTGCTTCATGAAGACTAGGATAGCGACTATCATTCGGCGACTTTTCTCCGTGTCCCCTATGACCTGGTTAATCTTGCAGGAAAGTTCGTCGTCGGTGGCACGGTGATAGATGGCCTTGATAAGAGATTTTACAGTCGGAATGGTAAATATCTCGTCAAATGCGTCTCTTGGCAGGTACTCCTTTCTATCCATTTTGCTCCAGCAAAGACTTTTTTCCATCTTATCTCGGACGATATTCCCAATACACGTGTCATCGGCCGAGTGAAAAGAATCAGTTTTCGGGTAAGCCTCGCAGGACACGGGATCGGTTGCTTCGCTTTGGCTACGATCATGTTTCTGAGGGTCGTCGGCGGCCTGCGGTGCGATACCGAGGCCCATGTCGTAAACAGACAACACAGCATCTGCTTCGGAAGGATCGCGTCTCTTGTCATTAACGCTTAAAAAAATGTTGCTGCCAATGTCTTGCCCTCCTCGGAAGTCGTCGACGACCTTCCATGGAAATAGTGGTTTATCACCGGCGCTATGAGGAACCCGCGGGGTGTCGTGCTGAGATGATGGGTGCCTTTTGCTATGGCTATGAGAATCTTTGTCAATTTTGAGTTCGTTAGTGATGCTGCCAACCATGGTGTCGAGGTCGACCGCCATCCCGTCCTTGACTTCATCGTTGCAAGAGCGAGTTTTGGAATTCATCGTGTCCGTCAATCGTTGTTGTGCCTCGAGAGGATCAACGTTCTGACCTCTAAGATTTACCGGAGCAAACGGAGAATTCAGGCACTTGACCAAGGAGTTGTAATATACCGGGATTTATCAGCTGGAGTCTGTTGAGATAAGGCCCTAACAGAAGAATGGGACACAGGAAGCGGTATGGGATGACTTGTGAGCAAGGCCTTGGTTGACTGTCTGCCGCTACCCGCTCTTCTCTCCGGGGGCTCTGGCTTCTTATATGGGCCATTTAGAAAAGCCTGACGGGAAGCTATTTTATACGAGGCAGACGGGAAATCGCATATTGAAGCGCAGCCCAAAGTCAATCGATTGGCCAAGACAGTGCTGCCCGAATAGGTTACTGGTAAAACGTGGCAGCCTCGGCTTACTACACCACACCTTCGAGCTTTGGAGGCCCCTCCAGACGCCAAAGTCGTACAAGCTGGAACAGTCTGACCTCCAGGAATGTGCGTTTTCAGCGTGAGGCTGTTTCGGTATGTGTACCAGCAGCTGGGGGGGCCAATTTTTGTCAGGTGTAATCTCTTATGTCTTGGGATGATATGCTGCGCCGTGTCTGTCAGCCACCATCCCCAATCCGCTTTGGGGGCTCAAAGTAGGGGCTCAAAGTGGAAAAAAAGCTCAGTCGGCTTCCTGGTGATACGAAACGAAAAGACGCCTAGTAGTGGCCGTGTATTAAGACCATGTCACCACAAGCATATATCAACTAATCCCACGCCAGATGAAATTCTCAGCCATTCCACAAAGGGTAAAAGAAGACGAAACTACGAATTGAAAACGAAACGAGTACAAAAGAGGATCTATCAGGTGACGGGCTCTTTATCTATGGCCATATTGAGACGCGGCAACCATCAGACGTAAATGATGTCAGCAGATATCAACCCAAACCCCTTCCTCCAGGACTTGCTCCGGTGAAAGAGACGCTACTCCTACCCTTTTATACATTCTGTCTATGGGGTCACTGCTGGCTTTGCAGATAACGAGCACGTGGACTTTCGGGGCATCGAGGCTGTTGCCCTCGTCCTTATCCCTGCCGATCTGCACAGCCCGAAAATCCTTGGCTTCGTGCGTATTTTTCATATCGAAAACGACCTGCGACGCGAGCGTCCCCTCGTCCATCTCCATGCGTCGCGCAAACCCACGAAGTATTGAACTGGTGTCGGGGCAGGCCGGCCTCGATATTTGGCCAGGGACCGTGTTATCTGACTGAGAAGTGAAAGGGCTCCTGAAGTCGTCATTCATCCACTTGGTCTTTTCGAACGTAAGGTTCATGTACTGGATTCTACCGCTCTTGGAGAACCAGGACCAGCTTGGAACGCGGCGCCCGGCCGGCTGGGCAATAGGCGTCATCTCCACGAGGTGGTGGTCGCGCCTCCAGAGGATGCTGCGGGCAAAGTAAGACTCGAAAGTGCCATGGGCGGCTTGTGTCTTGAACGCCCTTGCTAGGCGCTCTTGTAGACCGAGGATGGCAACTGCTCGGTCCGAAGCCTTCGTGAACGCAAGGGCCGAGTATCTTTCGTATAAGTCTTGGATGAGTAACTGCCGTCCGTCGCGGTAGTACTCCAATGCGGATCGTGGGAAGTTGGCGTCCCCGAGAAAGGCGGCCTTTGAGCTGCAAAAATACGTTAAGTAAATTGAAAGCCACTGGCATCATGGAGCAGTACCTACTTGTAGAGACGGCCCATGGTCTCGCAACGGATTCCCTCTCCACACTCCCAGTACACCTGGGTCCGGCTGTAGTATATGGAGCGTCTTGACAGAGCCCTTTCCTGTAAGACCCATCCCCGTCTATTGATCTTTGCCAGCTCAACATCTCCACGGAAGTCATCGATGTGCGGACAAGCATACAGCTGCCGAGAGTCTTCCGTCTGTAGCCGCACGCATGGCCTCGGCTGTCGGGGGGATAGAAAGCCATCGAGGGATGATTCGGCCGATGCTGCACTGAGGGTGCAGTATGCCGCGCTGAACACTGTCTCCATTTTTGACGACTCCTTTTCCCAGTCGTCTCCGTCATCTTGGATGATGCACAACGTGTCAATCCAGATATACTCTATGCCAAGGCCGCGAGTGACTGTGATTGCGTCTCGAAATGTCTTGGGGAGGAGATTAAAGTCGATGCGTTCCTCGAGCTGATTATGGTTCCTTTGATTAAGACAGAATCTTTCGTGTTCTTGCAGCTGACCCCAACAATGGCTGAGGGCTATGTATCGACTGGGCTCTATCTTGCAGGAATTGAGCAGTTGTACCGGATCGGTCACCTTGACGAGCCGGGTCGGCATCTCCGAGGTAGCTTGCCCGTCATGTCGATGACATGCGTGGTGTTCTGAATCGCAGCTCTGTATCCAGTGTTTGAGGAGCAAGAGTTGTTCTTGACTATTCGGCTCAGGAAGTAGGGGAAACCCAATCTGTCTTCCTGCGGGAACGTCGTGTCCTTGATGCAAGTTTCAGCTTAGGGTAGGTCAATAATTACGGCATAGACGTACCTGGCTCAGCGTAGATCGAAAGCAGGTTCGGTCCGCCTTCCAATCCTATCGCGGTACCCGTCTGGAGGAGTTTGACGACCGCCGGCGACGTTATACCTGCCCGGCTCAAGGAATCAAGGAGCAAGACGCATAGCTCGCAGGACCGCTGCATTGTTGACAGCTGACGTTCCGACAGGGAATACATTGTTGACGTCGTTATGCTACAGTTGGCACATAGCTTGCTGTTCTCTTCAGTCCGCAAGGGTCTTATTTGAGGCCAGTTGACATGATTGAACATCTGGGAGGCGAAGGCGTTATCCGAGAGAGAATCCCAATGGTCATTAAGCTTGCTTCTTTGCTGGCTGGGGGGTCAGCTGTCTGTTTCTTCCAACGCGTGATTAGCTTTCAACATACAAACTATTTAATGGTTAGTAACATCATTCGCGCAAATTGGATGCGATTACGACTCACTGACTATGTAAATCTGTGTTAACAACTGCACTTGTAAGCAACCCAAATAGACTAGAGAGCTTGACTGACATTCTGCCCCCCAACAATATTAGCATACATGACCTAGCTTCTATAATAATAACGAGTTGAGTGAATACCGACATACTAACACCGCATGTTAGTCAAACTTTAGGCATTTGGCCCATTCAGCGGGTATTTTCACTTACTTCCTTGTGTTTCATAGCCGCATAGGACGCTTTGCTCAACGCAGGTGTTGACTGCAAGTCCTGCCCCAGATCCTCCGTCGCCTTGCGCTGTATTCCTACCAGCCCACCAAATTCTTCCAGATTGTCCTCGTTGGCAGGGATCGAGCGCTCGAAGTGTTGGTAAGAGTCGTTTCCTGGTTCCGGGGCCAGTCCATGGTCTCCGGTTCTAATTTCGAAGTTACCTACTGGTTAACTTCGAGAATGTCGGTCTCTCCCAAGTCCATACTCACGCAGGATGATATTTTCTCTGGATGTTCTTCATCTTTGTGTGGGCCTTGGGCGCTGTTGCTCGGCATTGAGAGGTGGTTATGGTTTCGTCCGGCATTGCGACAACAAGAAGGCTCGTTTTAACAAAACGTACAAGATCACCGCAGATCGAACCTTGCGGCCATCTTCTTGATATGTTGTCGATGTGTTCTTGTGCACGATGTTGAATCCGGTATCTTCCGCCAACCTTTTCCCAGAGGTATTTTGTTTCGTTCCTAAATTCGTCCACTGCTTTGTAGCCGTAGGTAAGCCATATCAGCAGTTCCAGCACCACGCACCCAATGGACCAGACGTCATATGCCCTTGATCGAGTCTCCCAAGAATTTGGCTTCTTACTTCGGTTCTTGTCCTCCTCTGGTGGCTCGTACCGAGATGTTCCAGGAGGCGTCTCGGTAGCCAAGTTGGCGGCTCTTCGAATCCTTGTCAAGGCATCTTTCTTGTGGAATGTAGAGAGTCCTAAATCGGCAATTTGCAGTGTCATGCTCTCGGGAATTTGCGGTGTCATGCTCTTGTCCTCGTTCAAAAATAAGAGGATGTTCTCGGGCTTGAGGTCTCCGTGGCGGCAGTTTTCTTTGTCAAGGTCCTCGAGGGCAGAGAACAAGCCGGTGAGTTGGAGCGTTACCCATCTGAGCTTGGTATCGGCCAGAGGATCGCCTTTGTAAGTGCCCCAGAACTCGTACAGGTTTCCTCCATCTGCCCAGGGGAAAACAAGGCACCGATCGCCGCTACGCTGGTAGGCAGCTATCGGTTTAATAAGGTGTTTCGACCTGAAGTTTCTCAGCCTAGCGAGGTTTTTTGCCTCCCTATCAAAGTATTTCCTCAATTCAGCATCTTCGCTGGCCTTTTTAATAGCAATTTGAACTAAACCGTCACGGGCTTCCTACATGGTGGTTAGTAAAATAGATCAAAATATGGAGTTCATTCAAGTCAATACACGACACTTACTCTAGCCAATTCTGGCACGACATGTGCATGGTGAATCTTCGCGTTGTAAACTTCTCCAAAAAAGCCTTTGCGTTCTGCTTTCTGAGTAAATTCTAGATATGGAAGTATGGTTCGGCTGTCAAGTTGGAAGCGAAAACGATCCTTTTTTCCGAATATTGGGCTGATAAACCTCCACTGATGTTTGCTGAAGAGTTCGCGCTCGTTGCGTCCCCAGCCTTCAGGAACCGGGTGACTCCCCCGGTTAGGAGAGTCAGGGAGACTTGACTCCCAATACCAGACTCTTTTTTGATGGTTCCTGACAAATTTAACTGGGAGGAAATCGTCCCCTAAACGTTTCTCTTGTAGTTCTTTCAGCAGGGACACCTTCTCCTCACTTGTAGTAGACATCAGTACCAAAATCAGGAACAAACGTGCTGCATTTTTCACGACAAAGTCCCGCAAACCGTTGGCATCTGCGTCCAATTTTGCCGCCTCAAGAACCGTTGATACACGTTCTCTGGTGACGAAGAGTCGCAGCTCGTTCCTTGGGAAGAACCTTTTCCCTTCATGATTGATAACAAAGGTATCATCAATCTCATCTCCCAGCGAGGAAATTGCTTCGTAAGCCATTGGCTTAGTGATTGGGTTAGCCTCGATGAAACCAGAATGGAAACACTTCCGAGTAGTACCCAGGGCAGGGATAACTCACAGCATTTTCCAAAGGCCTTGCGGATACTTCCATTCGTTCCTGGTGGAAGATTGGCCTCGGAGAAGAAGCGAGTTGGGGGCACACGGTAGAATGTGAAATTTCCAAGGCTATCTCCTTGACCAAAGAGGCTATGACGAAGACAAGGTAGTGAGTGACTGGAGGAAGACGAATCCAGGGTTCGACCTGACACGGCCCCCCCTACATTTATGCCCAGCTGAAGTGGAAAAAAGGCTAGAAAACTACTTACCGACTTCACACCCTCTTGACTCTTGAATAAGAAGCCTGCATCCAGGCATCTATCACATCTGCAATCTCCTACACTGCCCCCATTGGCCTCATTCGGCTGCGGTATTGAACCACATGGTTGCCTTGCAATGCTGCGCGGCCTAGAAGATGGTTCGCTCGGCGAAACAACATACATAATTGAGCTAGATGTCAATGAGGCTTATGAGAACCGGCCATGACCTCATCGACGGATGATGGCGCGAGATCGATAAAGCGAGTACAACTGCCGACGCATAGTTCCTAGACTCGGCTTGCATGCACGCAACATTCCATACTCGCTGACTATGCAAAATACCTCATCGAAACTGAGACACTTTTCAGCCTCGTTGAATAAGAGGCATCTCACCACAAGCGGGGTACCCACCCCCATCTCATCCATCTTCGTCTCTCCCGCACGTACAAACGCGCCTGAGTCGATCGAGAGCTATGAGTACGTGGCCCTCCTCTTGAACCATGTCCAACGAACCTAGACTTTTATGAAACCCATTCTGAACGGCAAGAACTCACTTCAAGCAGTGAACATAGCTATAAACCAGGTTCTATGAGGCCCAGGATGGATGAGGTTTTCCAACGGAGCCATTGTCCCGTGAGCAGGCTGCATGCAGTCATCATCAGGCTGTATGAGACCATTCTTATCAAAAGCTCAAGAAGAGGGTGGGCAAATGTATGTCCTGCATACAGGCTAATGCTATTGCTGGTAAGCCAAGCCTTCCGGTCAGTAACGGGCCAATCCGCCTTCACATCGAGTTTCGCTATCTAGTGCCTTTTGATTTGACTCACAATCCGCCTTTTTCCCCCGCCGTCGCCATTCTAGGCTTCCAAAGCTCTCACGTAGCCAGCTGATGCCTCTATTCCATGTTTTTAGAGTCATTCGGCAATAGCTGATGATACATCTTAAAGTCCAAACATTCAATGGTGTATTGCTTCAGAGGAATACCTTACCAGTGACCAGTGTGTGCTGCTGCTGTCAATGACATCTCCAGAAAGCCACGTGGCATTGGCTAAAGTGCAGATGATGTGCGCCGATCAAGGCGGAGGGGGGAGTTGGCTGGCTGGATTTGAGATGAATGGAGTCAAGGTCAGATCTGTAATATTCTTGACAAGATATCAACCGCTGGAGGGTGGAGCCGACCTGAGGTCACATGCGGAAACATGTGACCATCCTTGGCAGCTCATATACACTATGGATATCCACGGCAGCAATCACTTTCCTCCTTTTCTGATCATCACCAACTTCAAGCACCAACAGCCAATATACTCTATTGCTGCTACCCTATCGATGTTTATAGTCTAGACTAGGCAGTGTTATTTGTAGATAATCAAGCTGCTTTTCTATGACTTTTGTTATCTGAAAAAGTGCTTTGTCATGAACAGTATAACTATAGAAATAACATAATACTTTTAACTCGATGAATTACACCCTAAGCAGTACTGCTTCGTCATATCTTTTACTTAGTAAGAGTCTTTGTCTTCTAATATCGTTTTGGTTATTAACAAAAGTGTCATCCAACCCTTCTCCTAGCGAGGCAATTGCTTTGTAAGGGATCCAGGGAGCAATAGGGGCATTCTCTGAGAGGCCGTTTCGTGCATTTGTAACACCATACGTAGAGACGTCATTCCAGTCAACTTCTGTCGTTGTAACGGGCAATGGCTGTTGCAAATCTGGGGGGAATACCTTGTGATCCTGAACTTCTAATGCAGTGTCATTTCCGCCCAGGTTCGGAGCCTTGCTACTCTGTAAGTTTGCCCGTGGGGGGGGGTTCCTCTATACTTGGCCTTAATTTATTACTCTGCTGTGAGCTTGCTGATTGGGACAGTTTCTCTCCACTTCGTCACGACCCAGCAGGATTTTCCTTCGATTCGCTTCGATCTTGGTTCGACTTACAGTCTCAAAAGTAATAGTCTGGTCTAGGAATAGCGAAGAGGGATATCTGTTGTAGGTGCCTGGATATGTGCCCTTCAAACTTTGGGTATAACCGAAACACAAGTTGCAAACACCATCTGACGACTTGATTGGTAACCGAAACATATCTTAAACTGACGAAGAAGTTGAGCGGAGGAGGAACATCTGAGAGTTATTTGATGTGTTATTCTGGATTGGCAAAAGGGAATGGGGCTGTGCTGAAGTGCCTATGTTGCCACCAGTTAGAGGACACGGCAGGGCATATAGGAATAGAATCAAGAAGGGCTTAGTGGTATGTAAGTAGAGACGTAAAGAAAAGATCCTAGGTATGAAGCTATCGTAACATAAGTACACACGTAAAAGTTATATTTGTACAAGAAATCAAACTCGTATTTTGATCCGGGTGAACAAGGCACAAGCTTCCCAATACAATAAATAGCATAAAAACATTTACTCCAGGGACCCCCCGACGAGGGCCAAGTTGACTATGGCGGCCTGCCCGTAGAGCGCGACGTCGTTGGTGGAGATCCACGCGGCCTCGTCGACGGGCGCCAGCACGGCGCTCCCCTCGAGGCGCACGGCGGCCCAGGGCGCCGTCTGCTTGAGGCCGTCCGAGTCGAAGAACTCGCGCCACGCGCGGGCGGCGAGGGTCGCGTTGGCGGTGCGGTGGGCGGCGTAGGCCGTGAGGCGCGAGTGGCCCTGCTTGAGGCTCGTGTTGCCGAAGCCCTTGCCGTAGCGGGCCGTCTGCTCGGCGGCGCCGGCGCTGTAGTAGTAGCAGTAGTCGTACCAGGCCTGCTCGAAGCCCTCGGGGACGTCGTCGGCGCCGGCGTGCTCGATGAACTCGGCGACGACCTCCATGAGGCCGAAGACGGCGGACAGGTGGGAGACGGCGACGGTGCCGTTGTTGGTCGGGTCGGCGGGGGGCGGGCCCAAGGTACCGTCGGCGAGGCTGTAGAGGCCGGAGCCGGTGACGAAGCCGTTCCTGAGGCGGGCGATGCTGGCGGCCGTGTTGGTGAGCTTGGTGCGGGCCTCCTCCCAGCGGGGGCCGCGGCGCTCCCACTCGAGGAGCCAGGAGGAGGCGAGGGAGGACCAGTCGGTGCCGAGGCCGACGGCGACGGAGGCGTTGGGGGTCGGGACCCAGCCGTCGGTGCGGACCTTGCGGTTGGGGTCGAGGACGCCGTAGGTCTTGTCGGCGTCGAGGATCTCCTCGACGATGTCGCCGGTGCGCTCGTCGCCGCCGGAGACGAAGTAGAAGGCCTTGCGGTACTGCGGGGTGGAGATGCGGGCCTGCTTGGCGCTGTCGCCCCAGTGCTGGACGCCGTGGCGGGTGCCGAGGCCCTTGAGGTCGCCGAGGTGGTAGACGTCGACCTCGCCGGTGTGGCGGACGAGGGCCTCGGCGAAGCGGTAGACGTCCTCGCGGCCGGTGCGGAGGAAGTAGTTCCAGAAGAAGAGGTCGGGCGAGAGCTCCGAGTTGTCCCAGGCGTAGCCGCCGACGTCGTAGCGCCACTGGTGGCGGTCCGTGTCGTAGGTATGGATGAAGTCGCCGTGGTCCCAGAAGCCGTACCACCTGCGCTGCTCCACCTGGCCCTCGTAGAACCTGAAGAGGAAGTCGAGGTGCTTCTCGACGTCGGCCTCGAGGCCCGAGGGGGACGCGGAGGGCGGCGTCCAGTAGTTGCCGAGGGCCTTGGTCTCGGCCAGACGGCCGGGCTCGCCGTAGAGGACGGGCGGGTTGTTGGTGTGCTCGGTCAGGTCGGCGAGGAGGGTGCGGTTCGGGGTCGACTCGAAGCCGTAGAGGAAGATCTCGTTGGTGCGGGCGACGCCGTACGGGTTGTTGAAGCCGGGCTCGTAGTCCTCGTACGTGATCTCGAGGGCGTCGAGCTGCTCCGCGTACGTGTCCTGGCCGAGGCCGTCGTGGTAGGGACGGAGGTCGAGGGCCGGCGCGGCAGGGCTATAGATCCAGATGGTGATCTCGCCCCTGTCGGTGGCGGCGTTGGCGATATCGATGCCGGTAGGGTAGCGCTTCCAGAAGTTGCGCAGGCCGACGGCGAGGCCTCCCTTGGTGGCGCCGCCGAGGTAGGCGAGGCCCCCGGCGCGCGTGCCGCCGGGGATGTTGACCCAGCTCTGGCCGGCCTTGGTGCGCTTCTTCAGGGTGAAGCCGTCGGGGGACAACTGGGTCAGGCTGAAGTCGCTCCAGGTAGGGATCCAGTGGAGCCTGGTGGTGACTCTCTGGTCCCACGTCGCGGGGTCAGGCAGCTCGGCGCCCTCGTACTGGTCGGTGCGGACGGCGGCGCCGGGGTCCCTGCGGAGGCCGGTGATGCCCTGGACGGCCTCGCTGAGGAGGCCGCCGTCGATGCCGGAGATTCTGACGTGGCGGTTGTACTGCTCCTCCCCCTCGAGGGGGACCTCGAAGCGGATGCCGAGGCCGGAGATGAAGTCCTCGTCGGCCTTGCCGTCGTAGACGACGGTGTGGACGATGCGGACGGCCTCGGAGTTGCGGTACAGGTAAAAGCGCAGGACGAAGGGGAGCCAGTCGGGGTGGCTGCCCTCGCCCTGGACGGTGTGCTTGCCGCGGACGGTGACGAGGGCGCGCGCGGTGTTGTCCTTGCTGACGGTGACCTCCTCGACGTTGCTTTCGAAGTTGAAGTGGGCGATGCCGGTCTGGCCCTTGAGCTCGGCGCGGTCCTCGACGCCGGACTGGGAGTGTAGGACGAGCCTACCGTTCTCGCCGATGGTCTTGCCGGAGGCGGTCTTGATCTCGCCGACGACGACGTTGCCGGACTTGGGGAACGTCACGGCGAGCTTGCCGGTGTCGACGCTGACGGCGTCCGAGGAGTCGGACACAGTCAAGCCGCCGGGCTGCTGCTGTTGCTGCCGCCTCGTGCGGGAGAAGCGCGCCGTCGAGTTTGGCGACGACGAGGCGCTGACGGTGTACTCGTCCAGGATGGTGTTGGCCTCGGGGATGGCGTGGCCGGTCCACTTGATGGAGCCGTCGGACCAGTAGGCCGTGACCCAGGACTGCAGCGGGCCGCCGCCGGAGACGGTGAACTCGGTCGAGTTGGAAAAGTGCTTGCCGCGGGCCCAGGGCAGGCCAAAGGTCGTGCCGGCGCTGTACGAGGGCGTGCGGCCGAGCCACCGGACAGTGGCGCTGTCGGCGCCGGTGCCGTTGTCGAAGCGCTGGGCGTCGCCGGACCCCAGGAGCCCGGAGAGGACGACGAGACCAACAATGATTCGCGACATGCCTTGGAATGAACGAAAGGACGAACGAACCCTGAGTCGAGTCTGGCCGTTGCAGCGAAAGAACCGTGGCGGCGAGTGCGGCCGCTTCGTCCTTCTAATACAAGAAGAACGAGGCGTCCTCGGGATAATGAGCGGCGAACTGCGTGTCACCCGTCTGCGCTGGCGCGTCAGCTCCTGGCTTCGCAGCACCGCCTGGGGATGGCATCATCCGGTGCGAGGATCTGAACTCATGACGGTCCTCGATGCTACACTGCTGATGGCGACTAAATCTGCAGGTTAGATTAGGGTCTATGGGTACCACGGATCGCCAGAGAGGGGATCGATGCAAGGTTTTGGCAGTCTAGCTGGAACAAGGTGCTGCGAGTCGCAAATGGGAGCTCTCATATTTCGGTGCAATGGCGCCGATGAACAGAGTCTATCCAGGAGAAACTTGTTCACCTCCCCGACGGAGCAATTAGGCCGGGATACAGGTCCCGCAGACGTTCTGTTCGACCGAGAGACCGAGAGGGGGCATGCGAGAACGGTCCAAGAGGCGGACTCTATCGCGATCCAATGGCGAAGAGTCGAGCAGCATGTGGGATGCGGGGTTGACAGCGGCCGTGAGCACGACGGCCGGGACAGGGAAGCGAGATTAGCCGTGCAAGGTATATGCATATATCTAAAGTGACGGGACGCAGGGGCAGCCCGCTGGTGGGTGGTGGTTGATGATTCACTCTATTGCGACCTCAGCACGCAATATCGCACCATACGGCTCCTGGTCGAGGGGATTCCAACGGTGACCAACCGAATGGTGACTTGGACGGAGGCGTTGAAATGTGAAAGATGGTGGCATTCGTCCCCCTGAGATAGATGCTCGAGCTGCTGGAGAGCCGGATGGAGTAGATTTCAATGCAAGCCTTGGATGATGCCATGGAAGAAAGAGGAGATTGTGATTTCGGGATCTCCAGTACCAGACTCTCTGCTCATCATGCATGGGGGACGCACCTCGGTCCAAGAGCATATTCTAGTAGAGACACAGCAAATGGTTAACACGTGAAACATGATGCATATTCATGGACAGTATCCGTAAAGATGTTCCCACAGAGAGCTACCAAGAATCCACGTCCGTCTCACTTCCCATGCGGCGCAGTTCCCATCCCAGCGAGCAGTCCCGCCGGCTTTCGGCATCGCACCTTGGGGGCCTCCAATGATCACGGCCGGGATCGACTAGTGCGTGCAAGACCCCCTCCCTAAGCTCAAGATATTCGCGTGCGGGAGCCGGTTACTGATGTGCCGCCCGGATGATCCCTAGGGTTGGAAAGTAGACGAGATCCCCTGTCACCTCAAGAAAGCATCTTCCACACATCGTTATGTTGCCGGCGAGATGAAACTCAGCATGTACGTTTAGAGCACAAGGCTCATAATGGCGGACGAACTCGACTGCGAATCTTGGATTCCGCCCCTGCTTCAGCGTTTATATGTAGACGTCTTGTTTTGATGAAACTTGGCAATGGCGAGCATCCTCCAATGGAATTCGGATTGCAGACACACGATCTCCAAGACCCCTGATCAAGGTTACTGTCCCACTCGGTAAGCATGGTGTGAGTCATAAGCTAGCATAGAGTTCCTTTTTTCCAATCAATTGGTTTCGTGGTGTAGTTGGTTATCACGTCAGTCTAACACACTGAAGGTCTCCGGTTCAAGTCCGGGCGAAATCATTTCTTTTGGCTTTTTTCTCATGTCTCATGCTACATTTTGCTCCCTTCCATCAACACAACCTTCGATACGCCAGCAAACCACCTACGTCTTGCTACAAACCACAAGTGACCGATTCTTTTTTAGACCGTTGGATCAGTGTCCTGTTGTAGGTAGATATCCAAACCACATCATTACCAACGCAAGTGTCCTTCTCATCAAGGTGCAAGTCAACCAAAGCGTAAGTCATTCATAATTAAATATCTATATAATAACTCGTGTGTGTCTCCAAGCCAGTCTCGCCCCCGTATCCCTCACTCATTTCTTCGACTTGTCGTCGCCGGCCTCGTCCGCCGTCTCCAGGGCACCAGTGGCCGCCGCCGCCTTGGCTACCTCGTTTCCCGCTCCTTCGGGGCCCTTGCCGGCCTCGTTCTTGTCCCCCTCGGCGCTTGCATCCCGCTTCTCCCCGCCGTCGGTCTCGGTGTCGTCATTCTTGTCGTCGTCGTCGCCGGCTGGCGTCGGTGTCTGCGACGGCGTGGACTTCCTCCAGATGCTCACGCTCGGCATCGAGACCTGGCCCAGGGACGACACGGAGGCGGGCACCTTGGGCATGGACGGCATGTTGGGAATGCTCGGCATGCTGGGCATGTTGGGCATCTTGTTGGGCCACCAGCCCTTGACGCCCGTGCCGGTCGACTGCGCGATCTGGAAGAGGTGCTGCATGTACGACCGCTTCTCCTCGGTCGTCATGTTTTCCGCGCTGGCGTCCCCGACCAGATCGCCCTCGCCGTCCGCCGGCAGGGGCACGAGCGACGCCGCCGCGGCGATGTCGATGGGCGACTCGTCGGGCAGCCCGTCCGACGGCGGCCTGGACGCGTCCTCGTCGTCCGCCTTGTCGCCGCCGGACGCCTCGGACGCCTCTTGCTCCGTCGCCGTCGTGTTGGAGATGGCCTTCTCGAGCGTCTCCTCGACCTCGTGGTCCTCGGCGGCCTCTTCGGGCGGCGCGTCGCGGAACTTGGCGTCGTCGACGAGCGGCGCGTCGCTGTTGAACCATTGGATGACCATTTCGGCCGCGTTCTCGGTCATCTTCTCGTAGCCCTTGTGCTTCTCCGGCTTGAACATGCTCATGTGCGCCTGCACCTCGTCGTCGACCTCCTGCAGCACCTGGCGCGAGAAGATGGACGAGGCCGCGTGGCCCTCGTCCGGGACGGCGCAGAACGTCCTCTCGGGGACGAAGTAGCCGCCCTGCCAGTACCCGTTCTCGCCGAGCGACGCGTAAAAGTCGTGGATGCCCACGCCCTTGAGGGCGCCCATGCGCTCGAGGCGCCGGTTGAGCTCCTTCTGCTTGAGGAGCGCGCCGACAAACGTGAAGTGGTCCGAGAGCCAGGCGAACGACTGGCCGACGGTGCCGCGGTTGATGTAGGCGAGGCCCTGGCCGAGGGCGCCGATGCTCTGCTGGTACCCTTCCTTGACGGAGCCCTTGTTGAGGCTGCGGAGGCCCGAGATGATGGCCTCGCGGTTGACGTAGGCGGCGACGCCGCCGGCCGCGATGGCGCCGACGGTGCCGGGCGCACGGCGATCAGCTGCCACGTCTTCCAGCCCGGGTTGCCGGCGCGGCGGGCCGAAGAGGCGACGGCCGACGTGGCGGCCCGGCGGGTGCCCAGGCGTGCGAGGCTGGCCGGCGCGGCGGCGGAGAGGGCGGTCATGACGTTGAAGACGCTGCTGACCTTTTGGTAGTTTGAGAAGCCGCCGTAGACGAACATGGAGCGGGCCAGGCCGTTGTAAGGCGTGTCGAAGGTGAGGATGCCCTGGATTAGGGGGAAGATGGGGTCGTCTTCCGACGGGTTGGAAGTGGCCCTCTCGTTGACGGCGAGGAACAGCGCGTCGGCGGCGACGAAGCCTCTGGGTCTTTTTAGTTTTTCTTGCCAATCCCTTCGGTTCGAATGGGGGGGATGTGAGTGTTCTTACCCCATTGAGTGGGCGACGAGGACGACGCCGACTTGCCTATCCTTCGGCGGCCATGGCTTCTCAACGTTGGCTTTGCGGACCTCCATCACTTGCTCTTTCAGCCTGCCACAGACTTCTCAGCACGTTTCCCCCAAGGCCTTTGGGGGGGGGGGGGGCACCTTACCATGACAAAAAAGCCTCGGCGGCTTGCGCCAGTTCGCCTTTGGTCTCATACTGGGGGTAGATGATGGACTCGACGCGGTGGTCGGGCAGTTGCTTCGTGACTGAACGTTTCAGGTCCTAGGACGGAGGAGAGGGGATGAGCACGAAGAGCAACGGAAGAGGAGGAAACACACTCACATCTGGGAAGTCGTGAAATGTGTTGTCGTTGCCCTGGGATCGTGTTAGCTGGATGATGAATCACGGTATCCAGCTGCCGGTCACGACTTTACCTTGAAGCCGTGGACGAAACAGAGGAGCAGTGTCCGAGGCATGATGGATCGCCGCAGGCCAGTGACACGGGGGGTTATGGTAGGCTGGTCTGGTCTAGGTGTATATAGTAGGTAAGTCGTGGTCAATGTAGGATAAGATGGTTCACGGTATTTGCTAGGGTGAAGGGGTATTATTACAAAGAGCGTATAGGTGGTGGTGGTATGCAGGATGATGGAAAGTGTCGATGCAAGAATCAGAAGCCAGCAGCCATGGAGTAATATCTCTCGCGCCGGCGCTTCCTCCCTCTTCCCCTCTATCTCTCTAGCTCTCCCACGGGTAGTGACGATCCAGTGAGCAGTCAGTTCGTGCATGTGCTGCTACATCTCTTCTCTCTCCATGTTCCAGGTTTTCCTTCATTCCAGCCACACTTTCCGGTGCCCCAAAGTGCGTGGCGAGTGTCTCCGGAAGAGCCAATGACGGCGCAGTCAAGACGTCACCGATAACGTCATGGCGAGTCTGGAGAGACGCACCTCGCGCTTTTAGCGTCCGGGGGTTGCTCTTACTGGCCTCTCTCATCTCATTTCTCACCCCTCATTCACGCTCACTCACCCAAGATTCACTCACTCACTCACTTTCGGCTCAGCCCCAGGCCCTTCTCATCCTATCTCATCCCAGGCATGCCCATCCATCTCAGGCACGTCACAGTAGAAGTCCATAGTACCTATAGGTAGCAGCAGATGAGCAGCCCCGATGCACGCACGGGCATGCTGCTTCGGGCCGGATTGGCTCGGGGTTTTGCTCCTCCATGTGCGATCTGAGATGCGGTAGCTCACGATCGACGCAGGCATCGACCTTTCGCTTGAAGGGGTTCCAAGGTTTTGGTTCTTTAGCGGTGGTCCTGCTGTCCACGCCACAGCGCCACCCTCAGGTTGTCTCGGGGCTTGAGCTTTGCTAAATGACAGGGTCGAGCCGGCCGTCTTGGCCCCGGGGGAGAACAAAGACGTGGGCCAGCGTCGATGGTTTTATCTATCTTTCCTAGTGATGGTGCTCCCTCAGCCTTATCCACGCTGCCAGATGGCCTAGCTTGTCGGTTTGGCGATGAACCTCTTGACTCGCGTCCACGGCTGAGTCAAACACGGGTGGATTAGCCGTCTTGTTTCGACAGTTCGTCGTGTTTTAACACTTCCAGGAAGGATGCCTATCCTCTGCGTTATAGTTGATATTGGTACACCATGCCGCGTTGTCCATCCTTGGGTCTATTAGGTGATTCCAACGCATCGACCCCAAATGCATCTTGAACAAGCGGTTGACTCTTTTGCTGTATTAAAGCAGTAGACTTTGTAAATCGTACCCCGAGAGAACGCGAGTGCCAGACTCTCCGCGGGTTGTCGCAATGTTGCCATCTCACCATTAGGCGCAAACTTTGTGCACACATGCAATCGGCGCTGGTGTAACTCATCGACTTTGTCGGTATCTGTATGCTGACAAGGCAGCACAGCAGCACTCTTGTTGCCCTGGGTGTCAAGGGCCTCTAGATGACTGAAGAAGAGAAGAAGAAGAAGAAGATGATGATGATGAAGGAGAAAAATGCCAGGCCTTGCTTGCACCAGAACCATTTGTTCCATCTTGCAAGACTCGGTTCGTTGATAGAGTATTGGATCCCACCAAGACGAGCGCATCCAGGCCCCCTTGGCGCTCCAGGTTTCTCCGCACGGGGATGATAAAAAAGAGTTGAGTTACGTGGCAGAGCCCAAAGGTCTGAACACACCCCCCGCCGTTCCACGCGCCAGGCCCCTTGTCCAGCTCCCCCCCGCCTCCCTTCCCCTTTTTCACCCATCACGAACCGCAGGGAAATGGACGCCGAACTGAAAGCCTTCAACGCCCTGCTATCCGCGGACCGCAAGTCCAACGACGAGCTGACGGAGCTGCAGCGCGTCGCCATCACCGCCTTCGTGCTCGCGGGCCGCAGCTACCGCGAGGCCGCGCGCGCCTTCGGCTGCTCGCCCGGCGCCGTGCAGACGACCGTCCGGCGGTTCAGGACCGCCAGGTCTTTCGCGTCCACGCCCCGCAAGGGCAGGCCGGAGAAGCTCTCGGAGGAGGAGAAGCAGGCCGTCGCCAGGTCCGCCGTGGCCAAGAACCCTCCCACCTATCGGGAGCTCTCGGGGCAGCTGGAGGGCCGGGTCAGCCTCCAGACCCTGAAGCGCGTGGTCAAGAAGGCCCGCTTGGCAAAGGAAGGGGAATGAAGAGGACGCGTTTACTCGGAAAGATGTGTGGGTGCGACGCTCCTACGGGACCTTGAGTCGCTTGAACGTATGTATTACCCGTTACCAGTGGCCCACCTGTCTGCTCAAAGGTCCGTCCGTTCATGGTATTTGGCTAATTCGGAAGAAGTCGGTTTGAACACACAGGCCCGTTGGGCAGTTGGAGATCGACTCACCCACCAAGTGTATATCCCCCACTCTTGAGGCCCACGAAGGATGGTCGGATGCGTCTGGGCTCGAGTCGGGGAGGAGATTACTGCCTCACAGGGTTTTTTTTTTTTTTTTTCATATCATATCGCCCAACTAGGTGACAACTCTACCCTTGGCAGACATATATGCCTACATCGACAACGGTCCTGAATTCCAGAGGTGGCGATAGTTATTTGGCATGTTAATTTCGACACCGTATTTTCCGTCCATGATTGAGGTGCAGACAAGTTCCGGGATAGGTAGGGTGAATATTAAGCGTTCCGCTTGGCTAATTGGGCGATGAACCCAGACTGGACCGACACGTACTACGCATAGATCAAGCACTCTCGCTCATCCTTCTCTTCCATCTAGACGTTTCGCTCGGTTTTCACACTCGAATACTTGTTCTCGTAGTAGCTCTTTTGGAAATGCCACCAGACGCGCCAGCCGATCACAATAACGAGCGTCAGAGGTATGCTCACAGCCCAGTAGATCCAGAGCTCGGGAACGACCGTCCGCTTAGTGTCCCCTGCCGTCGAAGAGGCACCTTGCCAGCCGAACATGGACATGCTGAAGATAGTCTGGGGCCCTGATGTCACTTTTGGAACGAGAAGCCGAACCGGGGGGAGGGGGTAGGAAGACCATGGTCACAACGGCGAGCGTCTTCATGGCCGTGCTATCAAGACCCGCGTTCGCGGCATTCCTCCTGTCGAGATTGTTCTCCGCCTGGGCGATGTAGTTGTAAAGCTGTACGAGCGTTCCGTGTAAGCCGCTCGCCTCGGCTTTTTCCACGGGACTCCGGGGGGCGGAAGGAGGGCGTTTTCTTACCACGGTGAGCTGGAGATCTAGCTTCGACTTCATCGCGCCGACAAACGAGACAAGGGATAGCGCTTCGCATCGGAGGTAGTCGACGATACTGCGCAGCTCCGCGTCCGCCGCGGGGGACATTTGACCGTGGATCGCGCCCAGTTCGCCGCTGACGCGGCCGAGGAACTTGGCGTACTGCAAATCCCACTCTAGGACCCCGAGGATATTGACGACATTCTTCGCCGTCGTGAGCAGGCGCGCCGTGATTTGGAGCCTCTTTTCTTCGTCCTGGACCATGCGCTTAGCGAACGCGTCGACTCCCGAGCGCATTAGCCGGGCGGCATTGGTGACCCCGAGGACCTTCTCGATATCGGTCATATTGGCCCCCAATTGCCTCTTGAATGTCTCGGCTCTTGATAGGTGTTCCCGCATAAGGACTATTGGCAGAAACAGCGGGTGAGCCCAGAGCGTCGTCGTCGCGGACTGCATCGTCTCATGCAAACTCTTGGCATGGGGGATGATCGGCTCTTTCGTCACGTAGTCCCGATCGCAGAACATATTCCAGCCGTGAAGAAACGCCACCGTAGTGTCCGTTTCGAGGTGATGAGACATTGCCAGTCCGAGGTTTCCCAACTGGGACATCTGAGGGAGCTTGGCCGTGAGGGCTGGACTAGCAATCAGCCTTTCTTCGAGTGCAGTGCCACGCGTGGTGTTCTCTACCTATAAACTCGGGCCTGTTCTTGTTGTGCGCCCCGAAACGCAGATTGGAGTATTTCTCCCCGTTGTTGGCGTCGAGAGCGGGCAGCATCTCAGTCGAGAGCCGGAAGGCCGTTTGCATGGCCAGGAAAGAGGACCGGCTCATCGCGAAGCCCAAGGGGAGCCACCCTACGCGCTCGCACATCAGGAGGCGGATACGCATGGTTGATTCGGCCTCGCCAAACATGGCCCGCCGGGAGAACCGCCTCTGTTGGTGAAGCCATTGTTCGACCTCATCGTCGTCCAGAAAGCCGGTCCTGAAGCTGTCCGCAACGGAACCAGCTGCATCTGCGTGTTTAGGCCTTGTCGACTGAGCCTGATAACATGAGTCGTTACGTACCCGCGCAGTCATCAGCCCAAACCTCGAAGTAGCCAAGCTGCCCTTCACCGGGGCTCCATCTGCAGGAATCCAGGAGACGTTGGCGTTCAGCATTAAACATTGTGAAGGAGTAAAGTAAATGGGGATGGCCTGCCGATCCTAATGGGCTTTTGGCAGGGAAAGGAACAAACACCCTTTAGCTACGCGCCTAGATTGAACTCGGGGAAGACAGTGAAATGCAAGCTGATTCAGTTAAGCGCCAGGGAATTCAGATTCGGATTAAGAGCAGGGGGGGGGGAGGCAATTCCTATAGGATAAGCGACACCATGCATATGCAGCAGTAAGAGGTGCTCACATGCCGCTCGCATATTTTGTAGCGTCATCGTAGCAATAGTTTCTTCATCAATCTGATTCGGGACATATCAGGCCTAGAACTGTTGTCTTGTTATTGTTGTTGGGATTATGTTATACAACGCCGACCTCTTGTAGAGGATCAATGGCGTCGAGGTGACTAACTCCAATAATTTAGAATAGAAATAGGAGTAAGATGCGCTTCATTTTATGTTACATGTTAATATGTGAAGAAAAGCTCCTCTATATATAGGCAACTGATGTGAAGAATGCATACTATGCTACGTGATGAGAGATATGACGAGGCTGATCCCAAGCGCTAGATATTGGTGAGCCTATCGTGACTGTATAGCCCTCTAGGATCTCCGACGAGGTCTCTGGGGATTTCCGTGTGTTCAGCTGTACAGTCTCAATAGCACATTCATGTCTCTGTAAATACGCCAAGTAGTCATGTGGATAGACTAACAGAACGATCTCGGACATCTAGCACATCCGTCGTAAAAGGACCGTCATTCACTAATGATCAGCGGGGAGAAAGTGTGCCATCCACAACTACAGACAAGACAACAAGTTTGTCCCTTCACCATTGCGCAGGTTCTACCACGAGGGCCCATGATACAGCTCCCAGTGTTATCCGCGATGTGGTGCTCTTCCGTATAGCGATTCATTATCCCCCCCCCCTAAAATACTATACGATGTCTTTGCGCAAGAAGACGGTTCTTCTAACCACCGGGTTTCCGTCCGGATCCGTTTCTGGGAAGCCGTAGAAGTTGTTGACTGTGTGGATGAGCTTGTACCCTCTCCTCTCATACCACGCTTGGGCGGGCGACTGAGTTTTGTTCATGTTAGCGTCTACGTCGACCGGATCGCAAGTCCGTCAGAAGGATATGAGTGGAGGGAGAGGACGTACAGCGGGAAGCTTTCCCTTGTGCACCACGGCGGACTCCTTCCGGAGCTGGTCCTCCTTCGAGACGGTATCCAGCACCAGCGTCTTGGCGCAGAGCGGTGTGCCGGCGGCCATGGCCTCCGCCATGTCCATCGCCGCCCTTCCGATCCCCGAGCCCTGGATCGCGTCCGAGACGTAGAGGCTCTTCACCCAGAACACGTTCTCCTTGGGGATCGGGAGGCCGAGGGGCTCGGCGGGCGGGTTGCCGGCGTCGAGCGAGATGTGGCCGACGGGGTGGAACGGTGTCCCGGTGGCCGTCCTAGCGACGGCGTAGATGGATTGTGCGGTGTCTACAATCGGCTCCGTCTCCTGGAGAGGCAGCGTCGGTGTTAGTGACTGGAAGACAGGGCGGAAGACGGGGAAGGGGGGACCTTTGGGTATTCGGACACGTGCTTGGCGATCTTTGCATCACGCTCCGGGTCTTCACTTGTGAGTGCCTTTGGAGTTCACTGTTGTCAGCTGGTGCGCAATCCCGAGATAAGATATAATATGTGTGAAAATGGCCATTCGCAGGATCGCGTCCGCTTCAAGTCAACATCCCACACCAGACAAACAAACAAAAAAGACTAAAAAAACCATGAGACAACTCACGATCCAGTAGATGCATTTGAACCCCGAGCGCTGCCAGCCCTGCCATTCGGGCACCAGGTTAGCGTCCCAGCCGCATGCTATCCTCTGGTCCACCATCCGCGTGATGTGGTCTGCAGACTCAGGGTCCCAGGGGATCAGCGTGACTCTTGTTGATGACATTGTTTCTCTCTCTTTTTCGGGACTCCAAGTGAACAATGAATGACAAGTCGGCTCTCCTCGTGGTCTGGGAAATTTCGGAAACTTTTGTGATAATGGTTGCTAAGAGTTACAGAGCCCGAGTGCGGACCGATGCGTCAAGGGGCGAGTCGTGAACAAGAACACATGAACCTGACGGCTATCCTGACTTGGACGGGAGCAAGGAATTCGGCCCGGCTTTAACATGCGCCTGTTCAGCCACAAACCGCGCCCTTTTCGGCTTCGGCCACACTCGGTTCATGGGGTAAACGTGGGACAAGGCTATCAGGCCGATGTCGGCATGTCAGTCAAGGGCGCGGATAACACACGAAATGCGGGGCTTTTCGTTGGCCGTTGCTATGGATTTTATGATGAGTCTCTTCCCCGTTGGTGTTCGGCATGGCCGATTTGCCAGGGTATCCCGATTCCGAAGAAAGCGTGCGGACGGAAGCAAGATGGGAACAAGAGGCTCACTCACGAGCGGCGACGATGATGTTGAGAAGAAGATGAAAAATGCATATGCTCAGTACCTAGTCGCTATGTAAAAAAAAGACAAAAATGAACAGAATCGCACATCTTAACGCCTCACCGCCTTTTGCATGCTTAAATCCCACCGGTATCATCCCATTCCATATTCTATTGCGGCGGCATCGCCCACGTTCCGTTGGCGAACCACGTGCCGGCCTTTGTATAGTCTAGTGTAACGCCGTCCTTCATGTAAGCAAATCTGAAATACTCGGGCAGGGCCATCTTGGCCTTGCGCATCCACACGAACAGGTTGTCGTCCGGGCCGTCGGCAAAGTAGTACCGGAAGCGCTCGACGTCGTTGACCAGGGCGCTGACGCCGTCGTAGCCGGCGGCGACGAGGTCGGCGTCGGACGGCAGCAGCCAGCTGAAGCTGATGCTGCGCTCGAAGGAGCCCGAGGAGATGACGGGCTCGGCGAGGCGGGGGAGGAGGGAGCCGAAGGCGCCGTCCTCGCGCAGCTCGTCGGGGGTCTGCAGGACCGAGTCGAAGCCCCAGCGGGCGATGCCGTTGACGAAGAGGCCGAGCAGCATGCCCTGGTAGAAGAGCGAGGTGCGCGTCTGCATGCTGGTGCCGGGGAGCAGGAGGAAGGCCATGATGTAGTGGTGCACGCGCAGGTCGAGGCCGGGGATCGAGACGCCGACGATGATGCCGGCAAGGAAGAGGGCGTAGAGGGCCAGGAAGCGGGGCAGGCGGCCCTCGAGCCAGAAGAAGTAGACCTGCTTGGCCATGACGAAGGCGAGGACGATGAGGATGAGGGCCAGCGCCGGCTTGGCGCCGGGCTGCTGCTCGATGTCGTGGGCCGTGAGGCGCTGGATCGGCATCCAGCCGAACGTGTAGTTGGACAGCGCGCCGAACCAGAAGCCGCCGAGCCACAGCGCCGTCTTCTCGAACTGGGCCCGCAGGTTGGTGAGGGTGCGCCGGACGCAGATGCGGTAGAGCACGACGGCGCAGAAGGCGGCGGGCATCAGGCGGCCGGCGAACAGCGAGATGCGGTCCGGCAGGACGGAGGCCGGGTGGCGCGAGGTGGTGGGCGGGTCGGAGGCGAAGCTGACGTGGGCGAAGATGCCGACGAAGGAGACGAAAAACTGCCAGGCCGGGGACGTCGTGAAGAGCGAGAAGACGGCGGAGAAGAAGACCGAGGTCGGCAGGAGGACCTCGCGCGGGTCCCGCCGGCCGCAGCGCAGCTCCGACGGGTCGGCGGCGGACAGCTCGAAGGACAGCGGGGAGCGACGAAGTCCTGGTATCTCTTTACCTGCGCTTTAAAGATGGTCGGAGCTCTGCAGTCACGCGGTCTAACTAACATAAACCTGTCGCGGGGTGATGCCATCGTAATTGTAGCCTGTAGTGACATTCGCTCAACTACAGTCGGGGTTTCCGCACGACCAAGTGCAGTAATGACGACGCAGGTTTAAAGATGTCCGACATACTACACTAAGGCGGCAGGGAGGAGGGAAGTTTGGATCATTCCCCTCCGGGAAACATTCCTAAGGCTTCTGGTCTTAGGGGGGTAGGCTAAACGTGTTCGTAGTCACCATTGCTAGGCATTCAGGTCAAATTGGGTTCCCGTCGCGCGGGGAGCACGAAACCATGACCGCATGGAGAGACTATAGAACGTTGGTCACTCGTCTTCCCGGTCGGTTACCCTATAGCGGGTTTTTCCGGGCTACGCCGGCACTCCCTGGTTATCCATTCGCTAGAATTCAGGTCGGTTTCTCGGCCTACCCGGATAGGAGAAAACGTCTCGCTAGATCTTGAGCCATAGTCTGCCAGCGGCCGGACCAGGAATGCACTGGATCGTTCTAATGAACAGGTCGCGGACGGGGAGAGATGCTCTGAACGACTCGACATCGTCACGCATGTACAAGAGTAGGGTACATCTTGCTGAGGCGAGTGTGGATCCGCCGATAATCTTAATTACGGCGCTTGCGATTTCCGTTGATATACTCACTAACGGGACCGACCCCCTTACAGTTGACCTACCCCGGGAAGTACGAGTCGAAGGGGGACGGTCTCGACGCCGTTCCGGGCCGAGGCGTTGAAGACCTCGTGGCGGCCGAGGCGGCGGAGGCGGCCGCAGCCGCCGCTGAGGTCGGTCGCGACGCCGGCGTGGATGGCGGCGGCGCAGATCATGGAGTCGCCGCGGTAGACACCGTCGCCGACGACGAGCGGCTTGTAGACGATCTCGCGCGGGCCGACGGCGTGGGGGTTCAGCAGCTTGTGGGCCATGCAGTTGGCCGGGCAGCGGAAGGAGAGGCTCGCGTTGGCGAAGGGGCGGCAGTCGGCGCCGTCGAGGCCGCAGCCGTTCTTGAAGCGCCACAGCGTGTCGCCGCAGTCGAGGCTGACGACCTGGCGGCCGTTGGCGCCGTCGTCGGTGAGGGCGTGGGACGAGGCCAGCGGCACGGAGAAGGCGACGGCCCACAGGGCGAGGAAGACGGCGACGAGGGCGCCCTTGCGGCGGGCCGTGGGCGCGATGAGGTCGAGAAGCCGCGGTGGCGCCTCCTGGACGGCCGGCAGGACGGGGCGGATGGTGTGCACCCGCGGCGGCTGCGGGCCGTGGATGCAGTGGCGCTTCGGGGTGTGCGGGAACTTTTGCTGCGAGAGCGACGGCCGGCTGGAGGTGCTCTCCTCGAGCTCGTACTGCTCCTCGTCTGTGAGGAACCCGGCCTCTTCGTCGGCGCTCCGCCGGCGCGCGTACTTGTCGTCGGCGTCATCGTACTCGCTGTCCTTGAACGGCGGGTCCCTGAGCGGGAAACCATCACCGGGGGCCCCCATCTCTCTCTCTCTCTCTCTCTCTCCCTCTCTCTCTCTCCCTCTCTCTCTATATATCTCTCTCTCTTCCTGTCCGAGGTAGCCAGCTTCCCCTAGCCTGTCTCTCCCACTCGGTCTCTGGTCTCTCTCTCTCTCTCTCTCTCTCCGTCTCTCCCTCTCTGTCCTCTCGGCTCGGTTGCTCTTGTGATCGAGGAGGCTGGCCGGCGCTTCAGTTCACGTAACGTGGGTGGGTGCGAGTACGAGTTCGAGCGAGGGACGATGAAGTCACCGACGGAAGAGAGCAAGAAACGTACATTCCTTGGCGACGGGGGAGGAGAGTCCGAGAAGAAAAGAACGAGTGCCGTGCCCAGCTAAGGTATTCGAACATAAGAGCTTGGGTAGCAATAAAATGAACACGGGGGGGTGACCTAGCACCAAACCGAGATGGAACCCCCTTCCAGATCCCCATAAAGACCCCCCAATGGCCCCCCTTTGGAGTGGAAATTGGCCACGGTGATCGGAACAGACGTAAGGGGCGCGCTATCCTTGGTGGGGGCTTACATTGTCTACACTACCTACTTGACTCGGTCCCTTTCGAGACACGAGAGTCCAAGCTTTTCATCGTTTCTGAGCGAGGCGAGACGCTAAACTGAGACAATCGGGGGGGGGAGGGTCTTTAGGGCGTTTCTTGTGGTTAGGATGAACGGCATGTGTGCATATATCCCCCCCCCTGGTCCCTTGTCTCGAGCCGCCGCCTCTGGATAAACAATCGAGTTGGGTCAACGACTGGATTCTATCTAACGTTACACAAAGGGAGGGCATTTCCAGTTCGATTCTTCGGCGGACAGCCAGAGGGTTCACGAGGGAAGAGAAGAGTCTGTTGGCTTTGTTCGGCTAAGCTTCCGAGTGCATATTTGATGCGTGTTTGCTTAATCTGAAACTACAGGGGGGGGGGACGTTGCCAGGGTCACACAGGCCAAATGTTGGGTGAAAAGACGGCGAGTATCCGTAATATAGGTAGATATCTCCCCCTCTATGCGACACGAAGCGGTGAGTCGGAGCAAACTGAATCGAATCAATGGATATAACGGATACACGAAACGACACACTCCTGTACCTCTAACGCCCAATCTTCTCATCGTGGATATTCTCTCGCGTTTACCTGGCCGAATGCCGACCTGCAATGCATCCTCGTCTTACATCCGATCAAAGCCTGCATGTCAAAACAGGGGGACTACGGTACACTGATCCAAGGCGGTCCCCAGTAGACAGAGTGTCAAAACGGGGGGACGAGTCGGCCACAGCCGCTGTTGCAAGGGGGGTTTCTGACAGTTGCTTGGTTGAATCCCGGCACTTTATGTAGACACGACTGCAACCGGATGAACTGAATGCGTCGTTGTCGTGTGCATGTGAGAGGTGAGCTGAGCCGGATGTACAATTTCTTGGTTCTCACTGAGACATTTTGACCATCTTCACGGGTACGACTCCCGAGACGGAGATATAGATGAATTAAACATTATACTTCTTGCATGCACATTCAGCCTAGTGTAACACCATGAGAATACTGAGCCGTGTCTATCAAGCCCTATTGTCCCGTACTGCGAGGGGCAATGAACAACGCGTGCGCGAAACCATCGGACGGGTCGCACGGAGGGCATTTGCATCTTTTTGCAGGCATATACCTAGCAATGGATGCCTGTTTGCGTGCCTCTGAGCTCGACGAAACGCCTCGTATCTAAACCTAATGCAACGTGGGCTTTCTCTGTTCACCAAGAAAAGAAGAAGAAGAAGAAGAAGAAGAAGAAGACGGTAAAAGACGCCGTCTAAATCTCGCAGGTGTACTCCATCGTCAAGTCCACCCGCGGCACGCCCTCGAAGCCGGCCGGCACGGCGTACGACACGTTGTAGTACCAGTGGTCCCTCAGCTGCTGGCCGTACGTGACCGGCTGCTTCTCCAGCCCCGGCGCCGACACGTTGACGCTCAGGCACGGGAGGTCCTCGAGCCCCGTGACGGTCTTGCCGCCCAGCGTCCACGACGGCGGGATGCCGGACAGCGCAAAGGTGAAGATGTCGGACCCGGCCTGCGTCGCGTTCGGGTACGACACGCTGAGGGACCGCTCGCCGGCCACGGCCTTGATGGTCGACGCCGACGGGTACAGCAGGAAGAAGCCGATGTAGGGGAACGGCGCGTGGCTCGGGTCCGACGCCCAGTGCACGATGGCCGGCACGAACTGGTTGCCGCGGTTCACGTCCTCGGCCACCTCCTGGCCGCCCACCATGAGCGGCGCGCTGACCCACGCCGTGACGTTGCGGACCTCGCTGCCGACGGCGTCCAGCTCCTCCCTCGCCGTGCGCGCGATGCTGCGCGAGCCCTCCCACGGGCCCTTGGCCTTGAGCGCAGCCGCGGCGTCGGCCGAGATGTGCTTGGCCACCGTGTCCGAGACCAGCGCGATGGCCGCGCCCTGGGCAGCGTCGTAGAGCAGGTCGTTCTCGCCCTTGGGCGGCTGCGGGCCGAAGTCGCGCCCGAAGATGGCCCACCAGTACATGGGCAGGATGGACGAGTGCTCCGTCATGTCGCGCGTGTAGGCGCGGTCGTACGGCCCGACCAAGTTGCCGAGGTACGGGTTGTAGTGTGTCGCGAGGTCGTCCCACATCTTGGTGAGCATGTACTCGGCGTTGGTCGTCATGGTGGCGTTGCGCGGCCCGTAGGCCATGTTGGCCGCCAACGCCCACACGTCCATGCCGTAGTAGTTGGGCGCGTTGTACTCGCCCAGCGTGTTGTTGAACTGGAAGAGCTCGAGGAGCTGGGTGCCGTGCGTGTTGGCGAAGTCGATAAACGTCGTGTTGCCGCGGCGCGCGCCGATCCAGCCGACCGTCAGGGCGCGCATGAGGTTCGGGTTGGAGTACCCCAGGATGAGGTTGTCGCCCTCGGGGTAGCTGCCGTTGCGCCTCATGGCACCGACGGCTTGAATCTCCAGCGCGTCTTCGATCTTCTTGACGAGGTCATCGCCGAGGAGGTCGCCGTAGAGCTCGACGTCTTGGATGAGCTGGGTTCTGGTGAATGTTAGTTAGTATTCCCATCTTTGTCCGCTTCTCTCTCTCTGCTGCAGTGGGGGGGCGGGCATGTGGACTTGGACTTACCCGATGAACTCTCTCCAGTTGGGATCATACGTGTTCTTGAGCCACTGTTAGCACCGCACAGCACCTCAATGCGATTCTTGCTTTTTCGAATGGAATGCGAAACACCAAGAGAAGACTACTACTCACGTAGATACTCGGCGGATACAGTTCAGAGTCGGGCGTCGGGTCCGGCTCGTCGGGCGAGAGCTTAAATGTTCCGTACCATGCCGACTCGTAATCCGAAGTCAACTGGCTCGCCAAACTACAACAGTGGGCTCACAATCAGCTTCGTGTCGTTCAAGCACAGCACAAATAAACACATGAACAGAACTCACACGTTCTTGATCGCCGCCTTTGCATTCTCCACGTCGTTCCCCTCGTTGCGTTGCAGCAAACCGGCCGTGTACCACGCCGTGAACCGGATGGACCACGGACCGTTGTCCTGGTACCAGATAAGCTTGTACGAGTCGTCCCATCTCGAGTCCTGGACTCCCATGGCGTAGTCGAACAAGCTTTGAGCGTCTAATAAACAATCCCGTAAGTTTCCAAGAAAAAAAAACCCCCGCTAAATGGAACAAACACGTCTAGGTTCATTCTGCGGGATGGATCTACTCACTAGCTGAAAGCGTCGGCTTGCTTGCTGCTGCGACCCCCAGCGTCGCGCTGGAGGTCAGGATTGAAGCCACGGCCAGGTTGAGACGCATTGCAAGAGTCAGAGAGATACGCAGGGCACTGGAGGAACAATCATCGGAAGAGACGAGAGACGTCTTCTCTCTCGATCGTCTTCTGGCCCGCTGCTATATACCATAATCACCCAGGTTCCGGGTGGATATCCCAAGCCATTCTCGCGTGGAGTCCCGCTGCTCACGCGATTAAACAACTGATTGTACCTCTCTCTCTGTCTCTCGGGTCTGGTCTGGGGAAACCAATTTCCCCAACTCATGCCTCTCGGCCCAATCTCTTTCTAGAACCCGTGGTCCGCCAACTCCGTCTGAATCCGCCAATCACAACCACTAATTCGCCGGACAGAGCCCGGCCAAGCCCGGGCCGGAGCCGGTGGACCATCACCGTACCCCCCCCGGGCCATGTTACATATACCCCAACATCGAACTAGTGGATTGCGCACAAGTGGGGTTACGAATGGGTTTGCGGGGGAGGCAATGCGTTTACCTCGGAAACGGCCGCGTGAGAGATACCAGGGGAGAGATATTGAAATTGCCATCGTGGCACGCGGTCAGCCCAAAGGTCGGGATATCTTGTCAAGGCCACGAGCTCAACACAATCCTCTCTCCCCGTCCCTTTGATCGTCATCATCCTCGTGTTCCTCGTGCTCCTCCTTCTCCCCTCTTCCCCCCCCCGCCCATCTTGGGGGCTATGTTACATCTGGCACCACGATTCATTTCACAGTTCCCCGATTCGGCTTGTTTCCCCCCGACTAGCTCCCTCACCTGATAAGCCTAGCCAACCCGAAGCCATGGATCCGGCAACCCCACTGATATCTCATGACCTCGCTCTATTTGGCAGTCCATGGCTATCTCTCTCAATAAGCAACCCAGGCTATAGGCTAGGTAGGATTCCGTGCCCCTCCGGCCCGGACCATGACCGGCTGTGGTAGCAGTGTTATCGTCAGTTGGGAGCTGTGCGAAGCTAATCGGCCTGTCGCCGGGTCGCGCTTCGTCGGCATATGTACGCGATAGACCCCTCGGTCGTTTTCTCCTCACCCCCCGCCTCAAGCCGAGAAGACTCCCTCTCTGTCTCTCTTCCTCTCTTTCTCTGGCCTTGACGACCTCGCCGAGGAACCGCGCAGCCATGTCGAAAGAAGCCACCGCCACATCGGAGCCTGTCGGCATCCCCGTCACCGTTGACGCCGCCATCGCCAACAAGAGAGGCGCGTTCAAGTGGATGTCGAACCCGGGCATCATCAAATTGAACTGCGTCATTACCCTGTCCCTGGTGTCGAGTTACGCGACCGGCTACGATGGCTCCATGATGAACGGTCTGCAGTCCTTGGACACTTGGAAGGCATCGTTCAACAACCCCGACGCATCGGAACTGGGACTGTTAGTGACCCCATATCGGACTCTCCCTCTCTATCTCTCCCGCACATGATACTGACACCCCTCGTCTTTCCAGTCTGAATGCCATCCAGAATGTCGGCCAGCTCGTCGCCCTGCCCTTCTGCGCCTGGTTCTGCGACCACTTCGGCCGCAAGCCCGCCCTGCTGGTCAGCGCCGCCATCCTCATCATCGGCGTCGCCCTCCAGGGCGCGGCCCAGAACGTCGGCATGTTCATCGCCGCCCGCGGCATCCTCGGCTTCGGCCTCGCCCTCAACATCACCGCCGCGCCGCTCATGATCATGGAGCTCGCCTACCCCTCGCAGCGCGCGCCCCTCGTCAGCATCTACAACTCGCTCTGGGGCCTCGGCGCCCTCAGCGCCGCCTGGATCACCTACGGCACCTTCCGCATCGGCGACACCTGGGCCTGGCGCATCCCCTCCATCCTGCAGGGCCTCTCCAGCGTCGTCCAGCTCGGCCTCTGCTTCTTCATCGAGGAGTCGCCGCGCTGGCTGATCGCCAAGGAGAGGGACGCCGAGGCCGAGGCCCTGATCGTCAAGTACCACGCCAACGGCGACGCCTCCGACCTCATCGTGCCGCTGGAGATGGAGGAGATCAGGGCCGCCCTGCGCCTCGAGGCCGAGGCCTCGCGCACGACGTCCTACCTCTCCTTCTTCCAGACGCCGGGAAACCGACGCAGGTTCCTCATCATCCTCTGCGTCGGCTTCTTCTCTCAATGGTAAGCTGATTCGACGACGACTGGTATCACTCACGGTTTGACTAACATTTGGGGCAAAATTTAGGTCCGGCAACGGTCTGATTTCCTACTACCTCACCCTCATCCTCGACTCGATCGGATACACTTCGGAAGACACCCAGACGCTCATCAACGCCCTGCTCACGCTCTGGGGTCTCGTCTGGGGCATCCTCGCCTCGGTCCTCGTCAACCGCTTCCGCCGCCGCACCATGTTCATGGTCTCCACCGTCGGCTCCCTCGTGTGCTACGTCATCTGGACCGGCCTCCAGGCGACCTACGAGAGGCAGACGGACCTCACCGGCGAGGGGTCCCCGGCCCTGGCGAAGGGCGTGCTGGCCATGATCTTCTTGTACAACGTCACCTTCACCGTGGGCTGGGGCGCCCTGCAGGTCACCTACGTCGTCGAGATCCTGCCTTACAACCTCCGCGCCAAGGGCCTGGTGCTGTACAACCTGTTCGTCGCCCTGGCGCTGATCTTCAACCAGTACGCCAACCCCATCGGCGTGACCAACTCCAAGTGGAAGTACTACATTACGTACGACGTCTGGTTGGCCTTTGAGGCTTTGGTCGTCTACTTCGTCTTCGTGGAGACGGGCAAGATGAGTCTCGAGGAGACTGCCGTCATCCTCGACGGCGTCGAGGATAAGCTGGTCGAAGAGGTTGCGCAGAGGACGGAAAAGCTCGCCATGGGCGGCAAAGAGGCCATGTGAGAAGGCAATCCTCGCGGGTAAAGCAGAGCTTTTTTGTCATTATAGCAAGCGAGTCACGACTGGCTTGAGAATTGCAGAGCATAGATATTGCAATCACTCCTTTAATTTAAGTCTTAATAGTATAACAGTGTGGCGTATTCCGGAAATATAGTCGCTCTAGAGCCCCATGAGCGGTCTAGTGCAGTTTGCCCGGTACATACAATACAGGATAAAAGGGCTAAAGATGATAAGACAGTACATTCTTGCACAGTCATAACAACCAATCACAACGTAGTCTAGTTATGACAGGTATTGTTATTGTGGCTTATATCACGTCCTGACAAAGGTTTATAGGAATTTGGCTGGCTATTGCTCATAGAAGGGAATAGAAAGTGTAGAGAATCTACCAGAAATCTCAGTCACTTCTGGGTTGACCATGTTCCCCTAGGAAATGCATGGCTTCTCTCTATGATGCCTTCGGCAATGAATTAACGCCTATTGCCCGTTGCGTTGTATGAAAGAGGCGGGTTTATAAGAGCAGTGTCAACCCACACGACCTGGCCTGTCCGACGTCACACGTTCCTATGACAAGGTCAAATTGTTGTTCCCACTCATCCTAGTCCCCGCAAGTACGTTTCTGCCTGTGATCGGACCATTGAAGGTCGCGCCCTGGTGCTCTGTCATAGGTCGCTGCGCCGGTTCTAGCGCCAATGGACCGCCGGAAGAGGACCTCTGCCAATCGCCAGCAACCGACTCGAGCGATGGCACGATCAGAAGCAGCTCCTTCGCATACGCGGCGGCTGTGGCGGCGGCGTACGGCTGCCACTTCTTGTTCTTGTGCGCATCGGCGTAGTCACAGATGCCGCGGACGACGATGCACGGGAAGTTGTTCATCAGACCGGCTGCCTCCATTTCGAAGCACAGGACGCCCCCAAGCTCCTGACTATGCCGTTTGCGTGTTTTCCCATCCTTAATAACTTGGTTGCCGGACGCAATGGTCCCAAAGAAGAGGACCGGGTCAGTGCTCTCTCGTGCTTCCCGGAGGATTACCTCGTCTCGCCGGCATTTTAGGCATGTCGGTCCCGGGACGTGAGTCGAAGCGGCCATGTAGAGCGTGTCTTTCTCAGGGCCAGGGGATCTGAACTTTGGGTTGTCGGTATACTTGGCCAGATGCTCCGTGATCCGGGTTTTACCACGGAAATCGTTTGATCGTAGCTTAGCCAAAGCCTTGAGAAGGATTTCGGGCGACGCGTTCAAACTTCCCACACGCGCGAGCACGCCACCCGCTCCCGTCTTGCCGAAGTCGTATTGGACTACGCCGCCGTGTTGACCCGCCGGCTGGCTAATCACGACGTCCCCGAGGCGGATGTCAACGTCATTACCGTCCTCTAGGTCCGGGGCCCCGCCTCCGATACCGACAAGGATGTTGAACCGCAACGAGGGAAAACTCGACTTCATCTGGCTCGCGACGATGGCTGCCTGGTTCGTGCCCATCTGGCCGGCTGGCATACAGGCCGCGACGACGTTGTGGGTGCCGATTCGGCCCAAGGTGTAGATGTTGGAGTCGGTTGCGCAAGGGGGGAGGTCGGCGAACTCCTCGTCCATCATCTCGGCTGCAGCAGCGAGCTCGATCGGCAGGGCGCAGACCCAGCCGACGGTGAACTCGTCGGCCGAAACTAGTGTTGGCATTTTGGTCGATTCTGTGGGTATGTGCTGTCTGCGACTGTTCTGCAAAGGTGTAGTAGTGTTGACATTTGGTACAACAGCTCGTTATTAACTGTTAATTAGCTGGGTGAAAGATGTTGGTATAAGTCCTGTGAGGACGGGCATCCTGCAAGGCATAGACAGCACAACGCGCTGAGGGCGCCTTGGGCTTACTACTGGAAAGCCTTGTCAGGCTTTTTCCCATTTCGAGTCGCAGGTTTCATTGTATCTCTAAGCCACACAAGGCATCGGTGCTGTATGCCGCCTTTGGCACAAACGTGGCTCTGGACTCGAAGCTGCCGGGCCAACTCAGAGATACCGTGGTGGCTGACCAATTAATGTAAAGGATTGACTATCTCGGTTGTTCCCAACGAAGTCTAGCCTGATGTATTCTGGCCCGCCCCGAAGGCATCTTGTACACGATGAAGGTCGTCTATTCGTTGCCTGATGCCCTGGTACTCTACATTTCCTGCGGCCCCGTCGCATTGCATGGCCTTGGCGTACGCAATGAGCTCTGTGGTGTTCACGTGGAGGTTACCATCTGGTCATCCTCAACCCTCCCCCTGAAACGAAGCGCTTGCTTCTCACGCATCCGCCCTTGGGAAAACCGCGCCTGTTTTTTGTTGAATGTCTTCCGAGTTATGGACGCTGATCGACAATAACATACTATGGCTGAACGTGTAACGCCGCTGCCATCATTTGGGTCGACTGAGGCACACAACGCCCTTGTTGGAAGCCAGTTCTCAGGCCAGACCAACATCACTTTTCAAGTGAGACATGGTGAGAACGACTCCTGCCAAACCGCCCAGATGAATTAATCTAATTGTCGCAGACGAGTCGCAAAGACTTGAAGGCGAAAGAAAAGCACGTGAAAAAGAAGGTGCGTGTGGCTTTGCCACTTAAGACGATGTCTAGGAGGATACTAATCGCCAACTAAGAAACTACAGACTGTCTTCGCTCACTGGCGTTCCGTGAGATCAACGCTCGTCGGCATGATATCACGCATGCCCACCAGGACACCTGCGACTGGTTGTTTGACACGCTCGAGTTCCGGCAATGGATGGACCCTACATGCCTACAAGACCACAATGGGGTGTTCTGGATCAAGGGCAAGCCGGGCGCGGGCAAGTCGACGCTGATGAAGCACGCGTTTCATCATTTTCACAAGCCCGGCGTCAGAAATTACCATCTGGTAGCATACTTTTTCAACGCTCGAGGCGAAAAGCTTGAGAAAGCGCCCCTAGGCATGCTGCGGTCCATGGTCCATCAGCTCCTCCGGACAGACGATGCGCTATACGCACATTTCCACCAGAACTTTATTCCAGAAGGCCTGGAAATATCAGACTATCAATGGAGGCCATTAGAATTACAAGAATTCGTTCGCTGGGCTGTCACGCAGCGCCTCTCGACGCCATTCCTTCTTCTCGTCGACGCACTAGACGAATGTAACGAGCCCGATGCTCGCCATGTCGTTGAATTCCTCGAGTCGCTGAGGATTCTCGCCTGCCAGTATAGGACTCAGCTGAAGATATGCCTCTCGAGTCGGCATTACCCTAGCATCACAATGCGCAAGGCTGTTGAGTTGAAGGTTGAGCATAGCAAAGACCACGAAAGAGATATTTCCAAATACATCAACGAAAGACTGACAGTAAACAATTTCGACATCATATATGAGATTCGAAGGAAAGCTAATGGTATCTTCATATGGGTCGCTATTATTGCGTCTGTGGTCAACAAGGCGTACGACGAGGGCCAAGTTGAAGCCATGGGGAGGACTTTGGAGGAAGTCCCGGCCGATCTCGACGCAATGTTCTCTGCCATTTTGGGAAAGGACATTTCGAATTCAGCCGAGACAGTCCGCATGTTACAATGGGTGCTCCTCGGCCTGCGTCCGCTTACGCCCCAAGAACTCTTCGTCGCTGTAGTGGAAACAGCTCCTCCCGCAAGCGACATAATACAGCGACGGATTACCACCTCGTCAAAAGGCCTTGTTGAAATACGAAGAGATTATCATACCAATTCTGTCCAGTTTATCCATTTATCGGTCAGAGGATTCCTGTTTCGATACAAGAAGCTACAGATGTTAGACCCAACATTAGGACCTGAGCCATTTGCGACCATCCACGGTCGACTCTGGGCTCGCTGCAGGTCTAGTATCAAGGAGGCTGTTACTACATCAACTCCTCGGGAGCACATTTTGTGGTGATGCGACAAGGTCCCCTTCTTTCAATATGCAGCAGATGACATTTTTCAACGTGCAGAGAGAGCCTTGTCGAAGTGTCCTGCCGATACCCCCTGAGAACGAGCATCCAGAATCGGCTCCGAGAGACCGATCGCTGGTTTCCGTGGTGGAGTACTCATATTCCGTGGTGGAGTATACTCCGTGGTGTTGATTTAGAGTGGCTTCCAGAGCTGTGGCCCGACCAAAGGACGGGCCCATCACTTGTCCACATGTTGACAGTTCTTGGGCTGCCGAATCTAGTGAGAGTCCTTCTCGAAGGCACCAACATCAACACACAAGGCAGCACATATAGTAAGGCATTACGGGCTGCTTCACATTCAGGGTAGTGGGAGATTGTAGAGCTGCTCCTTGAAATGGGCGCTGATTGCACAGCCTAGTGGGATGGCCCAGGGGTTCAGGTAACTGACAGTAGACGCTATCAGACAATGTAGTTATAGGAGGCCTACAAAAGGAGGAGGAAAAGGATCGAAGAAGTGTTCAAGTCAAGCAGAGGTACAATGTTAAATCTGGGGTTGTAATATGATATACCGCTTATCTGCTAGATCACATGTTGTTAGCTGGCTTGCTATGTTGCTTGCACATCAACAACTTGCGCGTCATGTTTCGACGTGCACTGAATGAATCAAAGGAATAAGACAAACACTTGAGCGGTTTACGCTACCCTACGTTGGATGCGCGGTTTGACGGCCCAAAAGCCGAGAATCGGGCTGCAAGCCCACCTGGAGCATGACTCGCCGGCCGACAGCCTGTTGTGTATCAACAGTATTCACAGGGGGCGGGCTGGCTGTGTCTACTATCGATCGACTCGTTTTCCAACCTATGGGCTGACGGCCATAGATCGCAATGTAAACCCCATTCCGAATAGAATCAAGGCTAAACTCACGCCAGTGCAAGCGACCATTGAAGATTGGGCGTTCAGAAGACTGAAGACCACATTAGAATCCTTCATATGACTCTGTCCACCACGTCCCCCATCGTCGGCGAAGTCCATGGTTCCATCCATCACCCTAGGCCTTCCCAGTAATGTGGCCCAACTGACCGGTCATCTTCCATCCAAGGCACTGGACCGCCCGCCATGCCAACTGCGGTCTGCTGCTGCGCCGCCGGGGTCAGCGAATGGAAGCACATGCTTACGAAGTAAACCCGGCAAGAATCGTTCGACTGGCAGAGTCACGTTGAGCAGACACGGCGCACATAATTCCTGATCTTGGGACCCCTCCAACCGTGGATGGACAAACAAAGGCATAGCGCGCAGGAATCAGACCAGGGCGTAGACGATCTTTGTCCCTATGTGGCCCAGAGAAGCCTTACAGAACAGGGGATCCGGCCTTCTCCAGACTAGATTTGCCAGCTTGGAAGAAACTGTCAGACCCGCGCCATCGGGATCGCAATCACACCACCGCCCCGCCATATCCGGCCAGACACCACACCACCCTCGGACAATCAACAGACAACACCGGAAAGAATGAGCAAAGGCGACGGCATCATGATCGGGGAAAGCAGGCTAGCACCGTGTTATATATGCTCTCGCAGAGTGCGAGATGGCAACACAAGATCGGATGCACTCCAGTCCACATCGACCACATCGTACAAAAAGCAACCTCAACTGTCTGCAGACTGTTTCAACTGCAACTAAAAACCTACTGCACTACGACTGCATCATCCCACTCTCGCCTTATCTTCAGCAACAACCGAAACAACTTACAGTTCCCACAACCGTCACGATGGTCAACCAACCAGCCAGGATTCCAGCCACCACCCCGGCCCTTGCTAGGTTCCTCCCTGCTGCCATCACTGTTGGCATCGGTAAGTCCTCAACCCGCTACCCCGGCGGCACGGCCCTCGCTAACATGCATCCGTTTCGCAGTTTCCGCCGTCGCCCTGAACATCCGCTCCCAGCTCAAGACCGAGTCCCAGACCATGGACCGCTTCTTCGCCAAGTACAAGAACCCCCGGAGCGAGGCCGCCCGGCAAAAGGTCTTTGATGGCGCCTTGGAGGACCCCCGCAGGAGCTGGTTCAACATCTTGGGCTGGTGACTGTTTCAGGACTAGAAGATTTTTTTTATTGGCAACATGGGCCGGGCGTTTTGGGGGAGGGCATACCAATATCATGAGGGGGAGGCTGCGTGCTCCGCTGGGCGTGCAACCGTTCCATGCACATGTCAGAGAAGGATGTGTTGCAAGCTAGTGGGGGTTTCGTCTGAACCGGAATCTAGTGCTACAAAGAGTAATTTTCTTAATCCAATCTTCTTAAAGTTCTCTCTGGTTGCTATTCGCTCTTGCGTCCTATCTATGTGCTTGGCCAGAGAAGTTTCCCAACCACTAAGATTGATTCCCGTGGCAATGCCACCGACCAACATTGCCGCAAGACAAATGACCGGCAGAATAGCCATGAACACAGAAAGTGCCTCTGTTTGAGGTCGTCACGCAGGTGTTCAAGTTTCTAAACAGGGCGGCAAGGGAGGAGGAGCCGTATCGCGACCGATACGGCGACGCGAGCCCAAGAGAAAACGGAGGCCGCAGCGACGAAGACGATGAGGAGTTGGACAACGAAGGGAAGACTCTGCTGTACTTTCACTTGTTAGAGTTCGAGCAGACGCAGCTGAGGAAGGTCTACGTGACGCGGATGCAGCAGTCGCACCCCGACTGGGCGACGAGAGTCGAGATTTACTCCCTGAAGGCATATTTTCTCGAAGCGGTTCGTCGCTGCAGGGGCGGCTTTCATCTAAAGCGCATCTCCCAGTGGGTTGATGCAGTCATGCAGGGAAACTTTCCGCGTCTTGCGGAAGCTCTCCAGGAGAGATGGTGGTGATTATTATAGAATCGAGTGGGCGTCACTCTTTGCTGAGTCTACCAAGTAGGCGGAACTCAGGGATGCCGGATCTGCCGAGGGCGGATGTCTTCTGAAATCGGATCCCGTCCGCTGTAGTTCGGGATTTGTGAATCTTGATCAAATCGAAAAGGGCAGATGCAGTTGGCGACCAGATATCCGTATTCCAGTAGGCTACTTCTTCTTCCCCCCTATCATGAGCAACACGGGTCAACGGGAACCGTTCCGAGTCAGCAACGCCCGTGAAAGGCTGGGTTCGAATATATGCATATGCAGGGTCTCTTTCGGCTCTGCCATAGTGGTTGCACTTGCACCCGTGTTAGCGCTTATGTGCTGTCGACATTTGGTCTTCCCCGTGCTTGCAGCCGGGACAAACCTCGGCTGCGTTTGTATTATACTTTTGGTCCGTCTATTTTTCTGTTTTCTGCTGCCAAGTACGAGCGCCAGACTCTCAACCATAGTGGTCTTGCACCACCATGCCAAATGAGTTGCAAAGAGAGAGTGCGACTTCCCATTGTAGCGACAGCCCTGATGGTTCTGAGGAATGGGTGAAATAGCAGCGCCGTTGGACACCTCTTGACAAGCATTTAGAAACCTTGTTTGCCATGTTCGGTATTGGGCATGGCACTCTTACTATTATAGTATATTAACCTTACGGCACCAGCCAACTCTTGCAAGGATATCACCGCAAGTGTGAGACTTGGAACCACAGGCTGGACCATTGACCAAAAATTAGGGAGAATAAAGACATGCCGCTGATCTTGCAGATACAATGAGTACCATAGGCCACTCCTACTTGCGGTCCGTGTTCTGAGAGCAGTCCGTCGTCCGGGATGCCATAGTCATTGCAAGTTTTCACCTCCTTCATTGTTTGCCTGTCGTTCGTCCATTCGTTATCAATTTCACTTATTCGTTGCATAGAACTTACAAACAGCGCTCGTCTATGTCAACGAATACTGGTAACACAAACCACCACCCTGAGTATCCATCATCTGAGACACACTGACATCCTCCGCCAAGCCCTCCATGTGCAGTAAATCATCCAGAGTCGCACTTTCATTCCTGCCCGAGTATTCGGTAAGTCTAAGCTTTTCATCTCTTTTCTGCCAAATGGACCAAAGACGATCTAATTGTGCGTGGTGCAGGTAGAAAACAGGATCTTAATTCCGAGTTAGATAGGACAGTTGAGTTAATTTGGGATGATAGTTTATGTGGGCACTTACCATTAGGAGCCGTAAAATGGTAAAATTCACCCCTGAGCTCATTGGGAGCCATATTGTGAGGACCATTCTCTACAGCCACGAGGAATGTCTTATAGTCCTTTTCACCCAGACTATTTTGTACAACTTCTGGGCTCGCATTTCTACCAGGAAAATCAGTAAACCCACGAGACAAGCAGTGTGGTTTTACGTCTGATCCAAAATAGAGAGGTTGCAAGTCTGCAAATGGGCCATTGGTGACGCAGTGTCCTTCACCCACACTTTGGGGTGCACTTGTATCTCCGTTGCCGCCAAAACCAGTGACGCTTGAAAATACAGGAGACTCCAGGAAATTCTCCCAGTCAAGCGTCCAGTCCCAATACCTTTGAAACAAGTCAGCGTGTTTTCATAACAGTCTTTGTGTGTTTGTAACTCACGGTAATGCTCCGGTGTAGGAGCACTTGTCTTTTAGATAAGTTTCGTATACAGAGATGAATCTTCTGTGCCACGGGAGAAAGGCTGCCTTATCATGCGCTACCACCTCAGGTTAACACACAACTCTGTCAGCGGGGGATGGCGGAGCCTTACTGCTGTGAGCGTGCCTGTTGTGTAAAAAGGCAAAATCGTCGTGAATAGTACCATTGCTATTGATTATAGAAGGCGTGCTGGTGAGACATTTAACGGCGTCGATGTAATCCAGCTTCTCTTGTCTCGAGAGCATTCTCCATTCTTTTCTGAAGTAAGGATCTTTACAGCGATTGTGCTGAGAAGACGCTGAGGAGTCTGACTTCGGGGGACTCGAGCTTGGAGAGGCATCGCCATAAAGGTTGGAAGATTGCGCCTGTAGGTGTTGATTAATGGCACTTGCGTTTTCGTAGCCCAAATGTAGACCAAGCGCGAATGCTGCCAAGAGAAGAACAAGAAGAAGGAAAGATGCGCCAAATTGACGACCGAATCGTCTCCAGCGCTGTTCAGTAGAAAATGTTGTATAAAGATGTTCGTCCGATGGCGTGTCCAAGTTGGGTAACTCTGAGTCGGACGAAGATAAAAAGCGGTATTTGCCATTCGCAATCGAGGAGAACATGACTAACTTGATTTCAGCATAGGTGAGAAGAATGATGGCGTATCAAAATGTGACGGAGTAAAAAAGAAGGGGATGGCGGGTGAAGACGTTCCTACAACTACAGAATTTTGACTCAGGGTCCTGGTGCTCTCCATAATAGTAGTTGAAATCAAACATACAGTGTTTGAGACTTCCTTCAACTTAATTATGCTATATGTACTCCGTACTATTATAGTGTAACAGTGAACCTATATTATAGTATAGGGTGGGCCTACATACTGCTACGCGATACCGCCTTCCTGGTTATGCAACCAGATATAGTGAGAAACAGTCGAGCGGTTTATGGTGACACTATCCGTAACTGAACGTGTCAACAGCCCTTACTTCTTTGCCTCGTGTTCTGCTATAATTGTAGCGGCAAGCCCAGAAACGCTGTTGTCCGGGTCTGAGGCGGAGACGGACATTGGAGCCTATGCTTCAGCTGCTGGTTACCAGATCCGGCGCTATTGGGGACCGGGGTGGCAACAGCAATGCCAATCCAGTGAGCGGACAGAACAATCTTATAGATCTGCATTTTAGCAAAGAGTGCAAGTGTGCAGGGTAAAAAAAGTATATCGAGTAGTTATTGAAAGAGTAGTAATTTCGTGAAATAGTAGTTGTCATAAGTGTGTTTATTGCAATGTGTCGTGAACAGGTAGTAATTACAGTAGTGTTACCCTAATGAGCTATGTTTATACTGATATTCTTTGATATACCAACTATTAATACTAGACTAATGATTCTTTAAAATTTATCGATCAAAGATTACCTAAGAGATCTCCCTTCAGAACTGTTCCACTTGAACGAATAATTACTGGCGACTTCGTTCGTAGGGGTTCAGGCATGGCTGGGCCTAGCCAAGAAGCCGATCAACAAGATGGAATAGTCTGTAACTATGAGTCAACAGCTCACCTGATGATGCATACAGTGGATGGGTAAGGCTGGAGAGGGAGGTTTAGGTCTCGGAGCGTGAGAAAACGTGGAGGCTGCCGTACCGTATGAAACAAAGCAGGGCGAATCCCTTATCTGTCCTTAGGGTCGATCACCTGACACTCAGCAGCTGGGTCCCTGGGATAAAGGAATGGGCTAGTAACTTGCGGTCTGCTGGTGCCCGGTACGAGTCATAGCATCTCCTTCTAGGTTTGGTACTGGTCACCTAAACTTCGATGCACAGGCTGCGGCCCGGGACTGGGCAGCGCGTGATTGTTCAGCCATGGTGACTAGTCGCAACTAATATATAGACAAGATACCAGTCCCCCGCCTGCGCAACTTTCTATCTGGCCCTGATCCTGCGGCCACAGCCTCGTTGTGGTCGGTAACAGATACCTGACCTGGACCTTGGTCGCAGTCCCAGGCCGGGGACAGACGTTCAAATGCATTGCAGCCAGCGGAGAGACCAGAAGTTAGCCAGCACTCATAGCAGAACACGGCAATTATTACATAAAACCGCAGGCTGCGACGAAACCACAACCAAAATGCGATAGTAATCCCCTTTTCGAGGAACATGTGCCTCTGTCGACTGGTTCCGTTACAGCAGTCAACGCTATTTCCAAAAGCTTAGCTCTACAAAGAGGGATTTACTTACTTACAAGATTCCATGGTACAGCGCTTCTATCTACAAACTTTATATTAATGAATCCCGGTGAAGCACCAAAATACATGGGTTGCGGCCAGCTCGGGTCGCTGAAACGGATAGACGCAAATCATTTCATGCTTCTTGCTCATCAGGAACTTCTTGTCAAGCTATTGCCAACTACTTACTACTGATGGATATCGTCGCTCCAAACCTCAATAAGCGGTCTAGTGCAGTTCACCTGATACATATGGAATGTCACGGTATGTAAAAACCCGATACGCAACGCCTTCGACCTGTGCCACATCTCAATATCCTGATACGGTATAGAATACCCAACGACGCAGAGTAGCGGCTGAATCTTACTTCACTTCAACCACTGACCTGGAGACATATGGTGAATTGGCTGGCAGGTCGAAGTGAAAATCGTTGCCGGCAAAAGATCCACACACACGAGACAAGACCATGGGCCAATTACTTGCTACACACTACCTCTACTTCTGAAGCTAATTGAACCAGTCGCCCATAGTCTTTACTCAACCGAAGAAGCGGGTCAGGCCGAGCTTGTGGGGGCCAGGAACACGAACATCGCTGGCCCAGCGCGCGCCATTCCGCAAGAATACGAAATATCAATCAAATTCGAAGCTCGCTCTCTGTAGCACACGCATCGTTTTCTCATTGACCAGACACGGCGAAACGGAGGTCCCGGTTTCAGTTGGCGATGATGATATACTATGGCTCACACTCTAAGGCCGCCAATAAAACTGGAATCGCAGGGCTGGATCGACATCGCTTAGGATACGGGGACAACCTTTTAAAGCTAGTGAAGGCATGCTACGGCCCGAAGATGACGATCCGCAGAAAAGAGACGGAGACCCCAGTGTGCCTCTAGTAAACCAGAAGCGATCGTTCTCGTCGGGTATCGTTCGGAGAAGCGATAAGACATACCATTATTCCCGAGTTGACAGAGTCGATTAATCATTTTACAGCTTGCTTAGAAATCGTACAGTAATGCTGATCACAACCGTGCGGGATCGATAATGCGAGGTCAACAAAGTCTAGTGTGAGACACGCAGCCCTAGGGCAACTGGACGTCGGGTCCTCCGGCCATTGATGTAGATCATTGCGACATTCACGATAGTTGAACCGCCGATCACGTAGTCCTGAGCTACCCAACTTTTGATATAAGCTCAAATAAGCGATGGTTGTCAAAGCCCACGTACACGTGCCACCGTATGTACGTGATGGGAGACGAGAAGCTGGGTCATGGCTCCCTGTATCATGGCACTGGACCCATCCGACTGGGGCCAATGGTATAATTATGTACTCAAGAGCAAAAGGGGCCCAAGAAGACCGACAACATATGATGGTGACAAATTGATCTGGAAATGCGACTATGAAATGCGAAGCGCGACGGTAAATTTAGATGTATCTTGCATTACATGTACCTGGGCAGGCATATACCCAGAGCTAGACGATTCGCAACTGTGCCATTAGAGTGCTGACAATTGCATGCCATATTAGTTTGATCATGTATTCTAGTCGCTTGTTTCGAGCTTCCATCACACTAGTATATTAAGCCTTGGCCGATATCCTCGCGTCGGCGACTTTGATTAGACGCCGTTCTCCGGCCTTCGGCCTTCGCTTCAGCGTCCACCAACCATTTCTCCGAATCCCGTTCTCTGACCGAGGTCCAGTTGTGACCACATATTGTCGAGGACCATGGTAACCCAAGGAATATGATGAATAATATATCGTCTGGCGAAACCATGTGCAACAGCTATTATGAATGCTCATGCGCAGCATTCCCCGATACCCTCTCCGTCTCATTCCGTCGCATGTTTGAACTCCTTTTGCACGCGGATGGCGTGGAGGGGGATCTCGTCGGAGCTCTTGTCGTTCTTCTCCTTGGCCGGATAACTCTCGACGGTGTACCCGAACCCGGTGGTGTCGGGTCTGAAATTGGACTCGCCCGGCGTGGGAGCCTGCTGTTGGCTCGCGCCCTCGGACCCGTTGTCGTCCGACAGGCGGTAGAAGGTGTCCTTGCCGGCGCCGTGCTTCGAGACGGAGAACCTGCGCGCGATCTGGGATCCAGCGTTGTTGGGGTCCTGCGACGCCGTGCCGTTGCTGAAGTTGGACTTGTTTCGGCTGTTGCCGAAGCCGAGGGCCGTCCCGGCGCGGAACATGCCGCCCATGCTGCCCGTAATACCGCAGGCGCGGGCGAGGTGTTGCATGGCTGGGCGGAGGGTCGGGAGGCAGGCGGAGACGATGCCCGCCGACATTTCGATGGCGGTCCATCCGACGGTTGGTGCAAGGGTGTAAGTCGGATCTGTCGCAGTATATGTGAAGAGGACACTGGTTCGGTAGGCTGAGGTGAAGACAACGCTAAAAGACGCTTATTAGCTGCCATATAGCTTGTCGACTGGGAGGTGATGTTTGAACTCACAAAAAGCCGAGGCCGAAAGCAAAGGTCAGGGCAATCTTCTCCGCCTTTTGCAGCTGCAGCTTCCAGACCTGGGGCAGAGGGAGAAGCAAGATGAGCAGGTCGGTAAAGATGGTGGACGCGGCGTTGGCGATCCACGTCGCGACTTGGTTGATGCAGTGGCCCGGGAGCTGGGGGTACCAGAGCTTCTCAACGGGGACGCAGATGAAGATGAAGAGGAACGTGATGCAGATGACCCAGGCGAAGACGAAGGCGACGACGAACCACGTCATCTTCTTGAAAAAGGAGATGTGGAAGATGCGGTAGTACATCAACATCAGGCTCAGCTTCGTCCACCCCAGGTTCCAGGCGTAGAGGATCTCCGCCACGACGAGGTACTTGGCCATCATGACGATGCTGTCCATCTCGACCTTATCAGCATGGAGGCCCATGCCGGCCGAGTACATGGCGAAGATGAAGCCGACGACAAAAAGATTCCATACCTTTTGGTTACAGTCAGCCCAACGGTCGATTCCTTGGTGCCCCCTCGTGTCGACCATGAGACTGGATGTCGATTCCGGGACCTACCATCGACCAGACTATCAGATAGTCATCCCACCATAGCTGCTGTCCCTTGACTTGACGGCTGTAGAGCCGCAAACCCACGGCTAGTACTGCGAGAAGGGTGACGGAAACGACGACTTGGACTATCCATGGCTGGAGGTTTTCCGGATCATAGCCCGGGAGGCCTGGCAGCTGCGAGGGGCCAGAGTCTGACGCCATGCTTGTTGTCCAACGTGTTTTCTCTCCGTTGCACAAGGAGCGTGGGGAAGCGGTCCACGGTATGTGTCAAGAAATGAATAAGAATAAAGCACTGAGGGGGACTGGACCCAGCTAAATGGCTTCGAACCAGAAAGACGCGTGGAGGGGTGGAGGAGATGGCATCAACGAGCAATCAAAAAGCTCTCATCTTGCTGAAAACCTCAGGAGACTCCATAAGGACAGGACTGGCTCGCTTTATTTTACAGGTGTCGAACCATGCATCGAAGGCATCTCGCCCCTGACGAGACTTGACGCATGGGACGACCGTCGACAGATTTGGGGGCCCCCTGAACCAACTTCAAAATTTTCAAAGGGTAAAAAAACGGGGGCGATGTGACACCCACTCATCCCCTCTTCGTTGGACGTTCGGAAGAACAGATTGATCTTCTTCGATCAGCTGTTGCTGTCTGTCTCACTCCCGATTTAGCGGCAGCCGATGGGACCACATGTATGTCAGGTGGAGTCCAGGCCAGCAGCAGGAAGCTGATGTATCAGAAAAAAAGAAAGAAAGACATATTAGAGTATACTCGGCGAATTAACCGACAGGAGACGGAGACGAAGTCCAGCAGTCGTACAAGGTTCACAACCCACGAGCGAATGTCTTTAGTGCCACGAGGCGAACACGCAGGTGGGCCGACCTCCCCCTTGTCGTGTGTGTGTGTGTGTGTGTACCTACTCATGTCGGCATTGGCTTCTCGCTCAAGCACGTTTTTTTGTCTACCGCGTGGCACTGATCGCCCCGGTGCATATTGTGATGAAGCAAAGATGTCCACAGTATTTACATGAGTTTATGCTTTTGCCATTCTGCGTTTGTGGACCAACCTCAGCTGCTAGCGGCAAAACGGAGACAGGCACACAGACTCTTGTAGCACAGACGATGGTGATGGTTGATTTCCGGAGCGCTTCTCCACAGCTACATGGAGGTGGACGCAATGGCTGGACAAGGACGGGGACGATCCCGGAAAGGCTCGTCCGCTGTGTCGTCTTCCTCCGTGGACGGCTGTGAGGAGCACCGCCTGCCTTCCAAGACTGCTAGTGCCGTCACGGCGCTGTCTTTTCGAGGACTGACGCGGGGCGGCTCTCCTATTGTTGTCGGGATATATCTGAGAGAAAGTGCTCACACGGAATCAAGCCGGCATTTGGTCCAGAGCCCGGTGTGGAGCAACACCGTTTGTGTGTGACCTGGGCATCGTTCTAAGCGAAGGCATGTCACAGCTGGGGGTTGGCAATCGATCGACAAATTACTTCGCGTGGCACCCAGTCCACTCCAGCTGGGGATTATCCTTCATCTCTCACGATGGGAATGAGAGAAAGCCAGAGGTTTGTGACTGACTGAAATATCTGTATGGTCGGGTTGTCAGTAGACGTGCACACAAGCCCGGCCGTGTGTGCATCAGAGGAATGATAGGGCATGATATCCGTACGCCGTGGACACCAGAAGAGGTTCGTTCTCCTTCTACTCCGTACAGTAAGTACCACGCAATCAATCAGCCTTTAGACGAAGGAAATGAGAATTCGTTTCCAGCGTCCCGGGTTCTCTCAAACGCCGGCGCCTCCATGGTCCACGGCCCCTGACGCCACGATACATAAAAGGCATGAGTTGAACCCACTCGCCGTCATCGCTGCAACGTTATTCAATGCCGGCTTGTTACCGAGACTCCTCTCCCCCCTCCTTTCTGTGAATGTGTCTGCGAGGTGAAAAATAGTGAAAAGAAAACGACAGGGGAGTTCCCTTTTCGTTCGGGCACATTGGCAGTGCCTCTACCAATTCTGCACGCTAGTAGCTGGCATCCGCCTGTCCAGCTCAAAGCGGCCTGGTTCCGCTCCTGGGAAAAAACCCCGAGTGATGCCCTGTCCCTGTCGGAATACACATCGTACAGAGTACATCGTATGTGTTTCGGCATTACCATAACAGGCTATTCCCTGCCAAACCTCTAGTCCAACGTGCGGTTGTTGATCTCGGCAAGCTGCGTCGTTTCCACTTATTAAAGAGACATCGAGGGTGAAGAACAGCCCTTCCTTAGGTATCGGCCCATTGAGACGGCTATGCATGCTGGGAGTTCGGCTACCGTGATTCCTGCCCTACCCACCGCACCTGAACAAGGACAGGCCTTCACAACGAAGCAACGCCGCGGTCAACTGCGGGACAAGTCATACCTACTCGACGGGTTCAGCAAGGGCTCGGCGGGGTAGGCGGTGAATCTCCAACAGGTCGTTCGGGGCGTCGGGGTAACATGTCCCAGAAGCCTCCGAGTGAATACTAGTACATGTAGGAATCTGCGTCTCTTTCTAACCTGCTTCTAAACCCAAAGCCAAAGCAACTCGTCCCCCCGTGCGGCGAAACATCGAAATCCCATACCTACCACACAGACACTCAGACAGCCCGGATAGTGAAGATCGCACGACCATGGCGGCCACGACTACCATCAAAGTCCCCCACCTCGGCGGCATCACGGCCGGCTACCGCCTGTCCGAGGACAAGATCGACCCCGCCAAGCCCGCCGTCGTGCTTATCAACTCCATGTGCACCACTGTCTCCCTCTACAACGACCAGTTCGACAGCAAGACGTTGACGGACGCCGTCAACCTGCTGGCCATCGAGCCCCTCGGCCACGGCGCCACAAGCTGTCCGGTCGAGCACTTCACCTACTGGGACACGGCCATCATGGCCCTACAGGTCATGGACAAGCTCGGCGTCGACAAGGCTTTCGCTCTCGGCACGAGTCAGGGCGGGTGGATGGTCACCCGCATGGCCCTTCTGGCCCCTGAGAGGGTACGTCACATTCGCTAACGGTGCCGTTTTTGTCTTTTTTCACTTTCGACAGAAGAGGATCGCCTATCGCGTCTCTCCTGAATTGCGGGCTAATTTCAGCAACCGTCAGATCTTGGGTCTCCTGCCGCTTGGCACCTCGATGGACTACGAGTCGGCCGACTCCCGCGTCAAGGGCTGCTGGGACGCCAAGGCCCAGCTTCTGGCCTTTTACGACGCCTGGTCGAGCCCCGTGCCGACGCCCGACTTCCTCGTCGACGATATATGGTGTGGCATGGTGGGCAGCCTTGGCTTCTCCGGCACCGTCCCGCCCGAGACCCTGGAGTTTTGGACAAAGACGCTCAAGTCCGTCTACAAGGGCGACGAGGGCCGCAGGAAGCTCAAGGTCGCCCTCGGCTGCCTTTTGTCGCGCGACGGCCTCCTGCTGAGGATCAGAGATGTCAAGTGCCCCGTCCACTGGCTCCAGGGAACCGCGGACCCTGTTTTTGGAGTCGAAATCCCCAAAGAGCAAATCAAGCTCTTCACTTCCTCGCCCGAAGCGACTTTGACCATGGTCGAGGGCGGCGGCCATTACCTCAACGCCACCAGCCCGAAGGAGGTTGAGGAGGCTCTTCTCAAGATGGTACAGAAGTATGCTTAAAGAGGCCCGTCCTATTAGTCCAGGACTGGGGTGGTAACGGTCTGACGATCATGGGCCGTAGAAGAGGGGTGCACGGAAGCCATGTACGGGATGCCCAGAGTAGGATGCCCAGAATAGCGGCAGCTCAACCGCATAACGAGACTGTCCGAAAGCACGCGTCAGGTACGCATGATAGATCAATCAATAGTTCCAATCCTCCGTCGCGTCTCGGGCTCGTTCAGGCCACTGCCAGGCGAGATTGTTCGTTAAAGAGTCCCGTTTATCGTGAGCCACGGATGAGGGCATGACATTGGTGTGAGCACACTGAGTCAGGGGCAGCCCGATCGCCGGATGCGAGGGTCCGACCGCTGAAGAACCACCCGGATTGCGACGGCAGAAATCCCGCTCAGAGTAGGGCGAGCCAATCATTGGGGGAATGCATACATATATCTAAAGAGGAAAAACCCAAGATTTATCGTGCCATCAACTCTCTGGGCTTGGTCCAGCCCAGCTTTGCGTCAGCCACTGAGTCAGCCATAGGGCCAACCACTGGGTTGCATCGTGTCAGAGGCATTAATGTCCGTAACGTGGGGGAAATGTATTCAGCGGATGAGAGGACCGGATTGGCGGGAAAGTCTGCCGGAGAAGCCACTCGGCAGCCAGATCCTCTGAGCCGTTCTCTAGTCAGGCTCTTGGAATCGAGTTGGCTAGATTGTGAAGCAACGACGATGCCCCCAACTGGCAATGGAATTACTTGCATCCGCACAGAGGCTGAAGGTCTCCTCGACTTGTAGATGAAAAAAATGAAAAAAATAGAGCAGCGGCACGCCCCGCGGGCTCATGCAGGGAGCCGCTTTAAGTAACTCGATGGAGCGCTCGGAACGATTCCAAAAAGACAAATCTTTCACAAGCTTGGCTTAAATCTAGCCTTGAAAATAGGAGAAAGAAATGTCCGTGCCCAAAGCACCTCTTGATCACTTGTTGGCTCGAGGAGGATTTGTTTTTGAGCAAATCAGCATCAGGTGAGGCCGGATTTTGCAACGCTCAACACACCTTGTTCTCTTTCTTTTTGTCTTCTTGTCTCTACCACAGAAACCGTCACGGAAGACAATCTCTGTACCACGTGGCAGATGAGGCGTTAGTTGCTGCATGTAACTACCAGAGTTGTTTTGTGACGTGACAGTCACAGGCCCAGATGTACTACGATAGTACATGCAGTAACCAAGCTGAAGTCTTGAACACCACAAGTTCGACTGCTACAATCATTACTGAGAGTAAAAGGATCCCTAGTTGACTCAAGTCTATAGGAACAGTCTGCTTGGTGAGGTATACCCAATTAAAGTATCCTCCTTCAAAAGGCGTGAGTTACTGTCTGTACAAACGGTGTCGTTTTGTTACGCGACACTTTGTGAGGGAATTGCTCTAGCCTAGGATCAAAATAGTATTTTTTTAATCAAGTTTCCCGCCCTGTGGGATATGGTATATCAAGTCCCTCATACGGAATTTGAGTTGTCGGCACAAGACCACGCTGCTGAACCCCCGGATCGACTGTAATCGTCAATAATGCCGACAATGGCGCTGTATGTTCCCGCGATGGTCAGAAACGTTCCGGATGCAACGACGAAACAACTCCAAGCAACCATGAGATACCACCTCAGCGTCGGGGCCTGCCTGCCTTTGCCCCAGTTGTCGTAGAGCCACATGCAGCCCATTGGCTGGAAGGAGATCATTGTGCCGAGAAGGGCACCAATCAAAGAGATCAAGCTGTTGAAAACAGGGATGCCGCTGGCGATGAGATACGCAACCAAGGTGATGGTGAAGGTGCAGCCAAGCCACGTCGACCAGTGTACGACCGTGTTCGCCGCCAGGTGCTTGGAACCCCTCAGGACGCGGACAAAGATGTGCTTGCTAGCTAACTGTGGCCGAGTCAGCCATGATCCCGGGGGGTAATTGTGTCGAATTTACTTACGTGAAGCATCACGGCCGCCGAGACAATCAGTCCAGGAAGCGCGAGGCCGTAAGCGACCTTCTTGACGGCAGGGCCGGCAGAGCCGAGCGCGGGCGACGACACGTAGGATCCGCAGTAGTAGTACACGACCACGCCGACGGCCACGTACACAACGGTGACGACCGACTGGCAGAGCACGAGCGCTCGGGAGTAATGGCGGGGATCGCGCATCTCGGCAGCGATGGAGAAGAAGGCCGGGGTGCCGGCGTACGAGAAGACGAGGGACGAGATGGCGCCGATGGCCTGGGTGAAGGTCGGCGTGTTGACAATCTTGAAGTCGGACTTCCAGACGGCGTCTTGCGGCGCGGCGGCGGGACGGTCTTGGAGACTCACGGCGATGGTTACGGTAAGCACTTGGAAGACGGCACGTTAATCTCGGGCATGCGCTTACAAGAGGCTTGGCTGCCAGGAATCCATTGACCAACTTACCAGCGACGACGATGCTCGTGACACCAACCCAAGCCAGCCCGCTGATGCGTCCCAGCGTCCGCAGACTGGAGAGACCGAAGCCGATGACGGCGGCGACGACCACGAAGACAGCCGTACACGTCGCGTGCGTGGAGAGCGCGTTCAGGGCAATGGAGATGCTCAACATGGCCGAACCGGAGGTGAAGGTGAAGACTTGGGCATGGTTAGATCAACGCGATTGTCCACGGCGTCTTGCGGCAAACTCACGCAAGCAGAATGCAGCACCGAGGACCTCACGCCCGACCCATCCAAACATCAGCTCTCCTGCGTCATCGATGCCGTACACTTCGGGGTGTCGGAGCTTAAAGGTGCCGACCATGAAGTCGGACCAGGTCGTGATGCCACCTATCACACAGAGGAGGACGACGCCCGGTACCATCCCGAGCGTGTCGAAGATGGAGGGGATGGACAGGACGCCCAGGCCGATTTGGGTCTTCATCATCAGGACCGACGTGCCCAACCACCCGACCTAGACCATGTCAGCAACCGTCGGATGCGGTCCAAGGAGAACGCGGGCGCGCACGCACGCTACGGTAGTTGGGCCCTTCTGATGTAATGTCCCCGAAGACGGCATCGTGTGCGACGGCGTCGTCCAGGCTATCGGACGGAGCGTCGCCTTCGCCGTACGAGCCCTCTTTCTGTTCATTCATGCTCGTCTACGCAGTAGTATGTTCCGGAGGATTTCGAGACGAAGACGGAGACGGGATCGGGAGGCGCTGGGTCGACACGGCCGAGAACTGCTAAGACGGGGACCAAAGCTTGTTATAATTACCCGTATCCGCGCGTTGCCCCCAGACCACCTTGCATGACGCCGACTGATCCCCCACAGAGGCAAGGGGGGGAAATCGTCAAAATAAGAAAAAAATGGAAAAAAAAAGTTCTCCCCCACGTCCCGGGGTTGCCTTCGTTCGCTTGACACATTTCTTGTTGTCGAGATGGAGTCGATGGGAGAAAACCCTTTTCGCGAGCGCCGGTATCGGACCGTGGTAGTCAAAGCTTGGTGGGTAAAACAGGGGTTTAGCAAAACTCTGATGTCAAGACTGAGAATCGGCATGGCTACCATTGAGAGAGAGAGGTACTGCGTCTGTGAGGCTGATGATGCGGGTGTTGTCCTGCAGTACCCCGTCGTCGTGATGGGTCGGCCCTTTGGCCTTCCCCATGTTGCGATGCTTCCATGAAGTCTGGGGAAGTGGGGACGATATCCGGCACAAGCACCGGTGACAGACAGCATCTCGCTGATGAGGACCTTTCCTTTGGCCCGAGGAAGAATTTCAGGATATCCTGACCGGTTGCCTTGCCCCCTTGTCCCTGTGACTCTATCCGCTTGCTACAGGTTCGCTCTGTATATGCAGCTTGTCCACGTGTAGCCCTCAGACATCTGCAAAGCTGAAATCGATAGGCGTAGGCGAGCTCGCACAAGCGTAGATAGATACATATGAGTGGTGTTTTGAGCCCCATACCAACTTGCTCTATAATCACGACACAGGATAATCAACCAACACCCACTTGCGCGGAGCCGTGGCATCTCCGCTGTTGGTGATGTAATATCAAGTTATTCTTAACTAGTTACGAAACCCCGAGAGAGGTGCCAACAGCCCTTACTCCCACGCGGACCAAATCGTGAACTTTTGATTTATAGGAAAGTTTGAGTGCATGGAGAAAGAGTATGGAAACCGAACCACTTCGAACTAGCCTCCTTCATCTCTATTTGCAACGATTATACTATCTCATGGCGTATCGTCTCTCACTCGTCGATACATAACTCGCTGGTCTCGGCAGACGTCTGCTCATTATGTGTACCGGATTGGGTCATTTGCGACTTGGCGTGTAAGACCAACATGGATGGTCTGACAAGTTGTTGTCGATAGCCTTTGTACATCGATGGTAAACGGTATAAACAACGCTCAATAATCAAACACACCCCCACACAGTTGAAAAGAGTGCAACGGCCCCCAAGTGTGTGGAAGTTTCTGAACGGCCGTGTCGACGACTATGGGGGAACCCGCATGTGATACTGCTCCGTCAATAGTTGGGAAAAGGATGCCCAGTCCCAGCCGATTCCGTCCGAAAGGCTCGGAGACCACTCATCCCCGACCATCGGCATCGCTCCGAACGAGTCGAAGCCCGCGTCGTTTCTTCCGGCGGCGACATGCCCCTGGCCGAAGAAGGGCATCGTGGGTTGGGCCATGTGGGAACCGTCTTCTCGAGGCCGGTTCTCTCCGCTGCCGGCCCAGGGCGCTTCCGCCGCCCGCTGGGCTGGCGTCTCCCCCGCAGGATGCCACGAGCCGGGTTCCGACCTCGGGGTGTGCGCGGTTATCGCGTTCACGCGTTGGCTGTCGGATCCGGGCGGCGGCTGTGTCCCTTTTTGGAGGAGCATGTCGAGCTTCTGGAGCAAGAGGTTGAGCATATCGTCACCCCGGATTCTGGCGTACATCTCTCTCAGAGAGTCGGAGCAAGTCTGGATCAACTGCGGGAACTCTGCGGTGAGCTCTGACTGATTCTTTCCAAACAGCAGGGTCGGACCCACGATCGCGCGGTCAAACTCACTTGAAGATCCATCGTTGAGATGCGGGAGCCTGGGTGCGTAACGACATGCATGGCCAGCGCCGAAAGCGCGTGCAGCGGGGCCAGTAGGTTTGGCAATATCGTGTTGGACCTGCAGTCCACGGCTTCGACGAAGATCCTCAGGACTTTGCGGGCCGAGTTCGCCGCTATGGACTGGCCGTTTCGCAGTATGTAGTCCCACGGCTTCCCTTTGGCCAAGATGTCGGCGCTGATGGTGATGACTTCTTCGCTGATGAGGAGGCTGTTGCGGGAGAGTATGATGAGCCTGGGAGAGCGAGCACGTTATCTTAGTGGAGGACTTTGGCGTTTTCCCTCTTCTTCTTCTTCCTTGGCAGAGTTACCTACGCGTTGTTGTAGTGCATGGATACGAAAGATGCAAAGGGACATACTTTCGAACCAATCAACATGTCTGATATCGGTCTATTGGGTATGCGGTTAGTCGTTCCCTGATGCTGCAGAGTCTTGGGTTGCTTTGGGAGCCAGTGCTTGAGCAGCCAGATATGATTCCATACCTCAGTTCCTCGGGTACCGACTCGCCCCATCTCGTCAGCAACAATTGCGTCTCCCCAAGCGTCTGTACCTTCTCGGCAATGACGGACTGCACGAGACCGTCGCCAAGTCCGTCTTCCTTCCGGCTTATGATGACGGCTTTGCGGCCAATCTCGCTGAGGATCCTGGCAAGGTCTACCGTCACGGAGAAAGCCTTCTCTTTCGACGCCGTGCCGTTGTTGCCCGTGGGCATGGCGACGCGAGGGGCGTAGCAGTCCTCGTCGTCGTCGATGGTGGAGAGGCGGCCCATCTCAAAGGCCAAAAGCTTTTCAAACGCGTAGATGGCGAGCCAGAACCTCCTCCTCTCTTCTTCGTCGACGAAGTCGTCTGTCCTGTCTGGCCGGTCGCGGCCGGAGCCCCGACAGGTCCGGGGTTTGTGCAGCCCCAGCGACACCGCCATGGACACCCCGACGCCGAGCGTGTTCCAGGCGGCGGCGCAGTCGTCGTAGCCGTGGAGGCACAGCGCCAGCAGCACTATCGCCCTCGCATTGTCGACGTTGTTGCTGACGACGAGATGGCCGAGGAGAGTCTTGCAGTACGATAGATAGTCCCTCGCATCCGGCGGCAGCTCCGACAGGGCCTCGGAAGCGAACCCGACGGCCAAGACCAGGTAGACCGTCGACAGGGCCGCCACGCCCCGGGCTTCGGCGAAGCTTGTCGGGCCGTTCCCCAGCGCCGCGTCGAGGTCTTGACGGAATCGATCTCGGTTCACGAGAGGGTAGACTATGTTCACGCCGTCGAGGTAACTCGAAGCGAGTTGATGGGCAGCATCTTTGCATGGGAACGGGAGGGGATCGGAGGAAAGAAGGACTCGGATTTGGTTGGGCGGAGGCTTGGCCGCGCTCGATGGCAGGCCGCATCTCTGTAGGATGCCAAGCCGACGGGCTGCGAGATCCAACCAATCACCCAGAATCTCGACCGAGTTGCTACCGCGGCTTGCTCGTACCACGGGTAACTTGCCTTGGTACTTGGCCGGTGGCGACTGCGACGGCTTCGCTTCGGGTTCATGGACGACGCGTACCGGTTCCCTTGCGGGCGCCGCGGGCCCTCTGTCGCCGTCGTCGCGGCGGATCTCCCACGGCGACGATCTCGCAGCTGGGGCAGCGGCCGGCTCGACGGCCTCGGTGCCTCGCGGGGAGCGGGGAGAAGCATTATCCGCTGCCAACGATTGAGTCAGAGACGACGTTGAGGTCCGCGACATGCGGCGCTTGGTCTCGCGGCGCTGGACCTGGATGCCGGGTCTCCGGCGGTCGGTGGTAATACATTCGATGCCGGCGACGATGCAGGCCCTACACGAGGGCTTCTGCTCGTCGCAGCGCGTCTTGCGGTTGCGGCAGTAGTTGCAGGCGAAGTTGATGCGTCGCTTCTTGGCTGCTGAGGCGGCTTCTGGCCCGGCCTGGGAACCGGTCGGGGTGGGTACACTTACAGAGCTGCCGTGCGATGTCATTGCCGACTCCCGTATGCGTCTTTCCGAGTGTCTGCGGCTGGCGTGCGGCGACCGCTTTCTTTTTCTCCGCCAGTCAGTCGAGCTAGTCGGCAGACCTCGTTCGGAAGCCGAAGAGAGAACGTCGGCTGGTTATGAGACACGGTTGCACAGCATGTGCCGAAACGGATAACGCGGCACACAAGCCAAGGCGAGACTAGCTTTCGTTTCGGATGTTGCTGAGCTGGGCGGTTGACCCTGGAACTCGGAGTATGCCACCGGCCCCTCATTCCGCTGGTGCGATGGATCATGCCAGAACGTGGAGCACGCTCGAATCAGGCATTGTATCCGCGTAGATCCTTATACGGTATCCTAGTATCCGTAGATCCTCCCAAGACCGTTATACAGTATGTCGTTTGGCGCGGTTAACGTAGAACTTATCTAGTTCCGGGACCTATGTCCGTAAGGATCGATATTAGACTCGGGGCAATCGTGGAAAAGTATCAGTCTCAACCCCTACACCCCCCGCGTTTGCTGCTATCACGGCGTCAACTTTTGATTCCTGGCGGGCTCATGGGAAGTACATTGGGAGTTGATCGGCCTGAGCCGGGCCGATGGCCTCATGTTGGGCTCTCTGTGATAACCATACAACATTACTTGGACACTCGGGTCTCAAGAGCACGGCGCTGCGGCCCAGTACCGTCGATTTGCGGAGCCGCCACTTGAAAAGAGAACGCATGAGGGTGAAGGCTTGAATTAAATGAGCTACAGCAAGTTAGCAACATGGGCTTCTCTATACATAGCACGGACAGGTAAGCAGTCGTGGATAGCTGTCGCCCTTGCGTGATGACAAGGAATATATCCGCTTGGGTCTGTGCTGTGCTTTGAAGATGAGACCGAGTCCGCCAACTCTGTTTTCTCCGCCTCTCCTATCACTCTTTTGGACGACTTGGGCAAAATCGTGGGTATCGTTGCCGACTATGTCGAATCTTGTCCATGTCAAGAATGACGCGCGGCCCCGTGCAGAGACTGCCGAGTCAAGAGATGCGGAAGTCGTCTTAGAGGAGCACCAGGCTCATGGGACTGTGCAGTTGCTTCGAGGCGGCTCGGTGGTCTTGATTCCAACCCCAAGCCCGGACCCCAAAGGTATGGTGCCCCGTCTTCGTCGGATACATTCAGCCGTATACTAAGACACCTGTTTGTTCATCAGATCCTCTCAACCTACCAACATGGCACAAATACCTCTTCATCTTCATTGTCGGCGCCTACTCGGCCATCGCCGTGCTCGTCCCCACCGGCTTGGGCACCGTCTTCCCGTCCGTCCTGAAAGAGTATCCGCCAGAAGATGCATCGCGAGCCACGGACCTCCTTACGTTCCCGACGCTGTTCATGGCCATCGGCAATCTGTTCTTAATGCCGCTCAGCGTCGTCCTGGGAAGACGTCCCGTCTTCCTGGCGTCACTCGTTCTCCTCGTGGCGTCGGGCCTGTGGTGTGCCTTTTCCGGTTCGTTGAGTAGTCATATCGCCGGTCGCAACATCTACAGCCTCGCCGCCGGTCAGAGTGAGGCCTTGGCTCCGCTCATCATCGAGGAGATGCACTTCCTCCATGAGAGGAGCGCCAAGCTGTCGTGGTTCGTCGGGGTCCAAACCGTGGGAACGGCCGCCATGTTCGTCGCCACGGCCTCTATTGTTCCTGCGTGGGGCATCAAGTGGTGGTACCTCATCGCGACGTTCATCAACGCCGCAGTTCTTGTCTTGGCCTTCTTTTTCGTCGTCGAGACCAAGTTCGACCGGCCGAGGGGTGCGGACAGTGAGTTACCTTCACTTCTCCAACTCGACGCAGCATCGAGGCCACAAAAAGCTGATCATCTTGGTTTCCAGAGGGTGTCGTCCACCCGAGACTTGATCAAAACGGCAACGTCAACATCAACGGCGACACAGAGATGGTGGTTAAGGTGCTGACCCGGGAAACCCACATTCCGAAACCCCAAGTTTTTGGGCCGCGGACATGGCGCCACGACTTAAGGATATTCCACTTCAGGCCAGACTGGAGCCAAGCAGTCGCCTTCTACAAGGAGACGGCCCAGTCGCTCTGCTTGCCAAGCATCGTGTGGATGCTCTTGGTGAATGGGGCATTCCTGGGTATCTATGTCTACCAGGCCTCCACGTTCGCCACTATTTTGATGTCTCCTCCGTATCTCTTCCAATACAGCTGGCTCGGTTATGTACAGCTGGTGCAGGTTTTGGACTGCGTTCTTTTCGTGCCGCTTCTCGGGTATGGTTCCGACATGGTGGTACGGGCACTTAGCAAATGGAGAAACGGCACATTTCAGGTATGTTGGCGTTTCTCTTCTTCTTTTTTCAAGTCGACGACCACCTTGGATAAACAAGTACGGTGCTAATAATCTGTTCCTGCAGCCCGAGTACCGACTCATCATTCTAAGCGTGCCGGTCCTATCGGCCATCCTATCGTGCGTCTTTTTCGGACAGGCGGGTGCGTACCCTGACCTCTGGCATTGGATGACCATCGTAGCCCCATACAACCTTGGCTTCTTTTCGTTCATGGGGGCCAATCTCGTTGGCATCACGTACGTCGTCGACAGCTTCCCGAGTAAGGCCGGGCCGCTCCTCCTGGTGCTCTGCGCCGGCCGCGGCTTCATCTCGTTCGGACTCAGCTACTCGACTATCCCGCTAATTAACTTGATTGGGTATGATGGCGCAATGGGAATATTCGCAATCATTTCCGGGGTTCTTGGGGCCATAGCCTTTCCGGTGTATTACTTTGGCGCTCGTATTAGGATGTGGGCTACGAAGAATCTGTGGCCGGAGATTGCTCAGTAAATATGCGTCGCACTACGGAGATGTAATATATTGTTAGGAGGACTCTAGATGGGTTAATGCATCAAACTAAAGGGGTTGTAAAAGGCATGGATTCTCCAAGTCTAATGGTCCAGCTGGCTAGAAAGTGGCCAGTTTCATAGACTTCTGTGGTGACTGACTCATGCGTACAAATCGGCGGAAATTCTATTCCAACATATATATATGCTGGATTGCTATTAAAACTTCTGCTCCCTATGATCCTGATTGTGAGCTCGCCCGTTACTTCTCGCTCTGGTATTTTGATTGGTTTGCTTCAATACACCTCGAGTACAAACAGCACTCGTCTCCCCCATCATCTCCGTGCTGATCAGGAAACGCTTGTGAAAGCAATCGGTGGGTGTACCTCCATAGTGATATGGTAGCTTTTCAAGCCTTTGCATGACAAGTCTTGGTTGACCTTGGGAGTAAACACGACGGGTCTTCCATTATGCTTCAAGCCAAGGCAAACGCACTGTCACACTTTATGTTCTTCAAGTTGTGATTGATATAGATATGGTATTTTCATCATACTAAAAAGACTCTGTAACTAGCACCTTCACCGTCGTGACGGTTTTCGTGGCTCATCCAACATCAATATCCACTCCGCATGTCTCCGTGAAGACCTCAAGACGATTCAATAGGCACGCTCTGAATGTAAGGAATACCGGTGAGCAGGAAGCCTCTCTCGGTCAGCTCCGGGGCCTGCCTCGGCTTGCCTATGTTATAAGGGCACGGCTCGCCGTTCCGCAGGACCGGGATGCCGCCGACGTGCGTAGCGTTGGGCCAGTGCGTCGTGCTCTGCAGGTTGTCGAACGCCGCCTTCTTGCGGACCAGATCCTCCTGAGTGGCGTCGGCGACGGGCATGTAGCACGTGTAGGCGCAGAAGCGCGGCGAGCCGCCCTCCGGGCTCAGGTTGTAGTGCGGCGTGCGGCTGTCCCAGAGCAGGAGGTCGCCGGGCTCGGCGTTGATCTTGGTCCACTCGCAGCCCTTGTCGGCCAGCCACTTCATGCCGGCGTCCGTGAAGCCGTACCACTCCTTGGTCCAGGACCAGATCTTGTCGGGCCCGTCGCGGAAGGCCTCGTGGAACTCCTCGGAGAGGCGGTGCGCGCCCTTGCACACGATGAGGCCGCCGTCGCGGTCGCCGTTGGGGAGGAGGTTGACCAGCCCCTGGAGGCAGCGGAAGCCGGGCTTCTCCGGGTCCTGGTCCTGGTGCGGCCACGGCTTGTTGGGCGCGACGTCGGTGCGGTTGGGGAAGGCCATGTTGACGGCGTCGAAGGAAACGATCAAGTCCTCGGTGTCGTAGACCTTTTCAAACGCCCCGACGACTCCGGGCTCCTGGCGGATGGCCCAGGTGAAGTTCTCGTGGGCGATGCCGTAGCCGAAGCACATTCCCTTCTCGCTGATGATGGGGAGGTTGGACTCCTTGACGGTGCTGGGGTCGTCTCGTTTGAAGCCGAGACCTCCGGCGCTGTTCATAGTCAGCGTTCGTGTTCTGGGAAAGCTGGGGAGGGAAACGACTCGGAAGATGCATGACTCACAAATTCTCTAGGAACGACATCATCTCTTGGGCGTACTGATCCGCCCGCTCTCTTGGAACTGCGCCCTTGACGACAGCATATCCGTCCCTCACGATGTCATCGCGGAAGTCACCGTAGCTTACGCCGGGCTGGACAAAGAGCTTGTTCGGGCCGGCTGGCTTGGGTACACGAGGCGCGACAGAGGCGGCCTCGGTCTTCTTGCCAACTGGGATCGTGACGGTGGCCGAAGCGGTTGCGTAATCATTAGCAATGACCATTGTGAAACAAGATTGATAATGTCAACGAGAGCAATAAAACGAGTTCTATATTAGTGAGTATTACTGATAGACTTTCAGATGCAGTAACGAAGAGCTGGTACTGGGCGGATCGTTGATACGGGTTTATATTTGATACTCATCGACTTTGCATGTCATTGTCCGATGATCATGACGATCCGCAATACTGAAGCTCAGCGCCATGGTTTCCGATTTGGGATGATCCAACCTGTATCCCGAACGGGTTCCTAACGTGAGCTCCATAGCTTCAAGCCGTTCAGTCGAACACCTCTCCTCCACCCCCGCATCGGCTCGGCTCGGAATCGGGGTGGGGGGATGCAACGCCAACCTGGCACTCGGGTGACAAGAAGGATGGCCGCTTTTCCTTACCACTACCATGTGGCAACCGGGCACTTTTCGGACCACCCGAGAGCTTAGGCATACAGAACATCGGCTCGGGAACGGTGGGCGTGTGAACGGTTCTCGTTGACTCGGGAGTTGGTGGACCTCTCCCTCTTCCCCAGACCTCGGAACAAGGTTCAAACTTTGTCGAAACGGCTGTCGTTCTTTAGGTTGATGTGCACCTCGAGCGAGGTGCGGGTATACAACTCCGGATGAGCCGCTTAAAGAGTGTTGCCATAAAAGAGCTTCCTTGTCTGAGATGATGTCCTCGCGATGTCGATTGCTCGTCATCGATCGGTTCTTTCTACCCGCTCGTTCTCAACCTCCATCGGCTATTGAGTAACTTAGAAGCGGACTCCATTTCAGACTTTCCTATAATGTCAACTACTCAGAGCCTGGATTCGCACATTCCGGTTGAGCCGCTGAGCCCACCGATAGTCGGACGCGATGGCTACACCGGCCTCAACCCTCGGACCGAAGTCCTGTCAAAGGGCTGGAAGCATCCCCATAAAGACGCTCGCCCGTTGCCCTGCGACATACAGATAGACCACGACGTCGCCATCACCACCAGGGATGGGACCGTCCTCTACGCCGACGTCCTGCGGCCCCCCAACACGGACGAGAAGGTGCCGGCCATCATCTGCTGGTCCCCCTTCGGCAAGAAGTTCAACGGCCTGTCGTCCCTGGACTACATGACGCCGTGGCAGCTGGGGGTCCCGTCGCAGACGCTCTCCGGGCTGGAGAAGTTCGAGGCGCCCGACCCGGCGGACTGGGTGCCCCGCGGCTACGCCATCGTCAACGTCGACACGCGCGGCGTGTTCGACAGCGGCGGCACGATGGTCATCCTGGGTTCGGTCGAGGCCGAGGACGGCTACGATACCATCGAGGCCGTCGCGCGGATGGGCTGGTGCGACGGCCGCGTCGGACTCGCGGGCAACTCGCACCTCGCCATCGCGCAGTGGTTCATCGCCGCGCTCCGCCCGCCGAGCCTGAAGGCCATCGCCCCCTGGGAGGGCTGCGGCGACCTGTACCGCGAGCAGTTCGCGCGCGGCGGCATCTACGCCGGCGACATGTTCGACGAGCTCATCGTCAAGCACATGCTCAAGGGGCGCAACGGCATGGAGAGCTTCCGCGAGATGTTCAAGCAGCACCCGCTCGCGAACGCGTGGTGGAACGACAAGAGGCCCGACATGAAGAAGATCAACGTCCCGACGTACATCACGGGCACGTGGACCAACACGATGCATGGCATGGGCGCCATCCGCGGCTGGCTCGAGGTCGACTCGTCCGACAAGTGGCTGCGTTGGCACCCCTGGCAGGAGTGGTACGACCTCTGGGGGAACCCGCAGGCCAAGGAGGAGCTGTTCTCCTTCTTTGATCACTTCCTCAAGGGCGTCGACAACGGCTGGGAGAAGACGCCCAAGGTGCGGATGGCGCTGCTGCGGTTCGGGAACAAGGTGCCGCAGGCAATCGAGAACATTGTCGAAGAGGACTTCCCGCCGGCCCGGACGCAGTACAGGGAGTACTACCTGAGCCCCGACGGGAGCCTCGCCCCCGGCGGCGCGGCGCCCGCGGAGGCGGCGACGGTCAGCTACGACTCGGAGGCGGGCGGGAGCGTCGGCTTCACGCACACCTTCGCCGAGACGACGCGCGTCATGGGGCTCCCCAAGGCCGTGCTGTACATGTCGTGCGCGGACCACGACGACATGGACGTGTACGTCATGATCCAGAAGCTGGACAGGGACGGCGCGCAGATGAAGAACCTCAACGTGCCGTGGAAGGGCATCCCCGTCAAGACGTTCGACGAGTTCAAGCGGGAGCAGGAGACGGAGGTGGTGCTGTACAAGGGCCCCGTGGGGATCCTGCGGGCGTCGCACCGCGCCGTCGACGAGGCGCGGAGCATGCACCCGCACTGGCCGTTCCACCCGCACGAGAGGGAGGACAAGGTCCCGCCGGGCGAGGTGGTGAGGCTGGACATTGGGATATGGGCGCTGGGCGTCGAGTTCGAGGCCGGCGAGAGCGTGAGGGTCGTCGTCAGCGGAGAGAGCCTCGCGGTGAACAACTTTGGGAAGAATCACTCTCTGAACAAGGGGCGGCATATCGTGCATCTGGGAGGGGGGCAGGCGAGCCATGTCATTCTTCCGTTTGTATAGCGTAGAGCTCGGGAAGACTCGACTAGCATGATGCTGTAAAGCCATGTAGACTATACTGTCTAAGCCCTGATGCAGTCAGTGCCTGGTGAGCCATGTCGTGCTTCCTTTTGTATAGCGTGAAGTTCGGGGAAACTCGATGAACACGATACTACAAGCCCGTGTAAACAATCACCATTCAGGCGTCAATTCTCAGTGCCCGGTAGTTATTCGCTTAAAGACACAGGCTCTTCCGCAGAGACATGAGTGTGGCATGCGCAGTTGAGCTTCAAAGGTGGTCGAATTAAGGGTAGCGGAGAGCGAAGCCAGGAGCATCACCGCTCTGCTCACGACGCTTAGGCCGGGCGTCCAGGAGACAAGGGACCAAGTTCTCAATCTTAGATGAGGGGCTCGCTAGAAGGCGACGATATCCTTGGTTGTTGACATTTAAGTGCTTGCATCGGAGATTAAGGGAGCCATCTACTTTGTAGACTTGGGTCGAACCAAACCCCTTCCCCCCCCAGTCGGGCGTGACACTGTCCAACATGCGCGCCCCCCCTGGCGAAAAGCCCAAGAGTGAGAAGACTGGCGCTGTCTTGTCTTGTACGGACCTGATAGCGGCAACTCGCATCTCAGCGAACACACTCAATGGGCCGACAAAACCAAGCCGGGAACGTTGGAAAAGAGGAGGGGGCACAGATCTGGCGTCGCGCTCATGTTTGTCTTGTACCCTTGCCGAAAAAAAGAAAAGAAAAAAAGGGCAAGCGAAAGTAGGGGACGCAGGCCACAACAGAGTATGTTAATGGACGGACGGATAGACAGATGGCCAGTGGTGACGCTGCAAGTTGAGGGAGCCTCGGGCACACGAGGAAAGGAACATTGAGACCACAGACCGAAGGCTGATCTTGACCTTCTCGTGCCCCCGTTCTGGCGTGTTGCCAAGAGTCGGTTCCCGCGGGGGACGTGGGACTGCATTAGTCTGAGCCACATCCTACCGGTGACAGATGGTAGTCAAATCTTCAGGCTTCCAGCAGAGGCAAAAGTGGCCACGCCAGCACGGGGCGGACCGCCGAGCTGCCTCCCCCGCGTATGAGCTTTCTACCCGCTGCCAAGTGAGCAAGCCTTCAAGCCGGCGTGGCTTCCTGCATGCGGGATCGTCTTCTCGTCACAAGTCATGGCCGGTTCTGCGTGGTCCACGAGGGTAAGTTCACCGGACGGCGCCGATCAGAGGGGATGGGGGGAGGGGGTTGAGAGTCATGATGGCACAGTACTCTCTCTGTAGGAGGAACTCGAATTGGACATGTTAGCCACCATGTACCCTGTCGAGCGCACAGGCTCCAGGGCAAAGGGGGAAAAAGAGCTGGCGAGAGGCCCATGCCGGCCAGATTCGCGGGCGGGGGAACCCCCTCAGGCCACGTTGGACGGGACAGCCGATGGATGATGTTCGTGCGGGTGTGTGGAGGCCGGCCGTCGGCATCGAGACCAGGTTGGTCGCATATCGGGCCCGCGTTGGCGACGACGCGACTGGAGTGGGGTGCTTTTTGCCTCCATGTTCCTTTCATCGCCTCTGTTCGATCTTTAGAGCACCAGCACCCCCAGTGTCTCGGGTATATATACCTGGGAACACGAAAGACGTGGGAGTATCCGTAGAGACACAAAGAAAGGGAGAGCGGCCAGCAGATGCCGGCAAGGTACGGAAATGTTGGACGAACGACGCCGTGGTGTACCTAGGTTTGCGAGACAGCTGGACGGATGGGCTACCGCGGAACAGGGGGGTAAGCCGGCATTAAGAAAGGGCGCAAAGTCAAAAAGGTAGCTCTGGGCGGGCATCAACGGGGTTCCCGTTCGAGTGCTCTGCGAGGTCTGGTATTTTTACTCTGTACTGAGTATCCGTCAACAGGATGGGAAGAAACCTGGCAATATCCGTGTTGGGCATGGGAAATGCAACGTTGGGTGCGGTCTATGGACGGGAAGCGACAGAACCGACCGAACGAACGCTTTGACGGTGACGGCCGAGGGAACCGACTGTGACCATGGCCAGGATTGCAGTGATGTTTATTGATAGATGTGGCGTAACGGCTTGGTTCTGTGCAACGCTCTCTTGTTATTTACCTACTTATCTTCCTCGGACTTTGCTGGTAATTGCCAGTATTTGTACGGATAAGTTTCATGAGTCTCAACCTCTCTTCGTCCCCGCAAAGCAATGTTCGCCCTTCCTTTCCTCTCCTCCTAATAAAAGTATCTTTGCCTCCTCCCCCTTCCTGTGGGTGTGGTGGCACCCCTGGGAGGCGCGCACGGCAGAGTCAGCCTACTGCCGGGGACCGGGGCCGGTCTGGTTCCCATCACACTGGAAAGGCTTGTCATTGGACAATGGAGACGAGAAGCATGCAGAGGACAGGCGCAGGGATGGCATATGTCACCCTGTATCCCTGCTTCCCCTGCATAACGTGTATGTGTGCACAGTTTCCGCATTGCATAACGATGCAGGAAAAAGGAAGAGAAAAAAGGGAGCCGACTCAGAGTAGGTAGACCAAATCGAGATTGTTAGCGCTGACGCCAAAATCAGAACCGCCAGACAAAATGGCTGAGCCTCAAACCGATAGCCCGGACATGAACTTCTGCGGCCGGTGTTTGTGCCATGACCATATATATAACCATGGTCGACATGGGCAGGATTCCAGAAAACCATGGCGACAATGGCTTGGCTGGCCTGAGGCGAGGGAGGCATGGGGGGAAACTGAAAGGCGGATGTACTGCTCGGCCTCTCTCAGTCGTAAAATCCAACCAAGACGACCAGACGGGAAAAAAAGATGGTTCTGTCGCTGCCCAAGCAAGGCCTGGCCTCTCTCACTGCCACCCTCTCACTGTCACCCTCAACCTGAAGGAGAAGGCAAAACGGGCTGGCTATGCCGATCAATGCAACGCGTCTGCAACCGGGAAAGCTGTTGAAGTGACGGAGACTACATGGTACATGGTGTATGCCAAGGAGAAGAATGCTACTCTTTCCAAGTGCCGCTAAACATGAGCTACAGCGATGGGCGGGTGCCGGCCGGGGCCTCCAACAGCGACAGGCGCGAAGTCTAATCTCCGACGTTGGGTGCTGCTATTCCTGTTCCTGTAGGTGGCGTGGCCGGTTCTAGTGAGTGAGAGACGATGAGTGAGAGGATAGGGTAATGAATACATGCGTATCTGAGGCCTTGGATGAGTGAGTGGGTGGATGAGCAGTTGCATAATAGTGTGTAAGTGGGAGATGGAGTGAGATGACGGCAATGGCGTAGAAGGGGAGAAAAACAACAAGTGACCTCTTTCTTTCTTCGGTCGGCCTTGCTCGATTGATTTGGATTGGCAGGTGTGATGCCTCACTCTTGCTTCCAGCCTCAATACCTAGCAACAGCGTCTCTCATCTCTCATCTCTCATCTCTCATCTCTCATCTCTCATCTCTCATCTCTCATCTCTCATCTCTCATCTCTCATCCCTCATCCCTCATCCCTCATCTCACCTTGGATTCCACCTTCACCAATTCACGTCTCTCATCACTCACTCACTCACTCACTCACTCACCCACTCATACCTTTCTCATGACTCGCTCACGCCTCCCCTTACTTAAGCCACTGCATCATATCATCATTTTCATCACCTGCAACATGATTCTTTTCGTGTTGTTTCTTCAATCAAGGAGAAAACGAACTTGTTGCGCCAACTCGTCTGGCCAAAACTAGCCCTTCCCACTTGTGCACATCGCACCAACGCCAGCCAACCGCCTGTCGGTCACTTATTCTCCACTCTGGGAACTGCATCCCCCTCTTCTCACCTGCATATCCACATCCACGTCCACATCCACATCCATCCACCTCGATATCCACGTCCTTAACGCCCCTGCAGCTACGCTCGTCGTCGCCGCGTTTCGTCTCATGGGATAACCCTTTGCTCCTTCTCAGTCCGAGTTCCGACTCTTGGATTCTGTTCGGAGGAATGTACCGTCTTCTGCTCCGTCCTCCTCTCTCCTTCTCCTCGCCTTCTTGACGACGTCCCTCACACCACTCGACTCGCTCCCACCCGGTGCCCAGTCGACGCATCACCGCCTGTCATCTCGACCGTCAGACGAATCCCATCCCTCTCTTCGCGTCTCTGCCCTCCGATTGGCCGAACCCCACGATAACCCCTGTTCCAACTAGTCGCCAACCCTCAACACTCTCCCCGCCCGAGCTCGGAAGGGTCCCCTTCGAGGTTCGACGCAATTCGCTCCATCCAGCCGTTGGTTGAGTCGACAAGCAAGAGGGAAATCAAGAAGGAGAATTGACAGAGAGAGGGGGACTGTTCGAACATACGAACACCGACGTGCCCATTCCATTCCCGTCTCTTGGACGAGGCCGAACAACGTCGTTGACGGTGCGACACCCAAAGAGACTGAGACCAATAATTTTCCATCGCTCCATTTACCAGACCACTTCATTTCCAGATACCCAGCATTGCTTTTCTTCTTCCATCTCTGCCTCGTTCGCCTCACCTGTTGCGACGATCCCGCATAACCAGCCGCCGCCATCAATTGAGACATTCCTGCGCCATCGCGACGGAAATCCCGTGGCATTTGGCCGGGCTGGCTCCCAATCGCGGTATAGACCAACTGCCCTTTACTGCCGATCATCCTACGTTGCGACAGCGGATTTCTACTCGATACTTTGACGTAACCCTAAGCAACCCGGCCGTATTGTCCAAACGCTTTGGATCCGTTGGCGCCTCCAAGCATCCTAGCTTCGACCTCTACGTTACCAGCAGTCTATCCATCGATCTACCATATGCCGCCGCCCGCAGTCGTTTCGTCTCGTCTAGTACCACGTGCAGACGACCAGGTCCTGGCCTGTTCTGTTCCATCGCAATAACGGTCTCTGATATACCCTCAAGGCGCACCGCACCCACCCATCACGACTCGAAAGCCGTAATTGCTTTTCATAGCTGCGCTATCTATCAGGGATCTTCTGATCTTCTGGTACTCTCCGTCTAGTAGTAATACCGGTCGACTACCCGACTCCAACAAGCTCGAACCCCCCCCCCCCCCCCCAGCTGCGCTAGCTAGCCCGACGCAATCGCCATCCACGCTTCTACGCTTCTCAGCAAGCATCATCCCGATTCCTTGCTAGGTACCACCAACGCCGCCGCCGGGCGATAACCCTCGTTTGCATACTACACTTGAACATTTCTTTTTTTCCAAAGACAAAATGGAGAGTCTTACCGAGAATCAGTCGCGCAGCCGCGAGAGGTCCCGTCCCTCTCCTGGCTATCCTCGCCCGTCCTCAAGATCTAGTACAAGTACTACTGTGGCCCGAACCACAAGGAGCGCAAACAGCTCGACTTCCAACTTCGCCACCTCTTCACGACCCTCGAGCACTCACCCTGCACACAGATTCCATCACAGTTCGTGTACGCCCTCCACAACTTCCCTCCGTCCCAGCTCCGCCCTGTCGCGAGGCGGCGTCTCCTATCCCGGCAACCCGAGCGCAACGTCCAGCTACCTGCAAGATAAGCTACAGAGAAGGAGGGAAGAAGCCGAGAGACTGGCCGCCGCCGCCGCAACATCAGCTCAACAGATGGAATCAGCTGCACGCCACGTGCAGAGCCCCTCCGTGAAGGGCGAGTCGGTGGACGGCCGTCGACCCAGGTCGAGCGGAGGTAATGGAGAGACCCCAAAGAAGACGGGCATGGGGGCGAAGGAGATGGAGGCCGTGAGTCTTCCCCCGTATTCCATCTCGGTCCAAGTGCCTTGCTGACAGCATTCCCGACAGACCGTTTCCACCCTGCACAAACAAAACTTCGACCTGAAGCTTGAGCTCTTCCACCGTCGCGAACGACAGACGGCTCTGGAGGCGCGGATCGACGCCCTCGAGACTGAGAAAACCCAGATGGACGACGTGAACGACCGGCTGTTGGACGAGCTGGAGAAGCGAGACAAGGCCGTGCAAGAGGCGGTCCAGATGATAGTGAATCTCGAGGCTCAAGTTGCAATGCTCCTCAAGGAGCGGGAGATGGTGCGGCATTTCGACGCAGCCGGGATACGAGCTCTCGAAGCGCTTGAGCATCGACTTGACATCGCCACGCCCAAACCCAGGGAAGCGAACCTGGCCCGGCGAGAGGCGGACGCCAAGGCCCTGAACCGCATGCCCAGCTTCTTGTCGGATCACACCGAGAACACCGAGAACTTGCGCAATGTGTACCTCAGCTCGCGCGGGAGCCTTCTCAGCTTGTCGATGCTCGCAACCGAGGGCGAAGACGCCGACGCACGTCGCGTTAACGACATGACGAGCCCGAGTCTCAGCGTTCTCAGCGAGAGTTCTTTCACAAGTGTGTATGGGGAGAAGGACGACGTCGACCGGGCGATTCTCGCCCGAGTCAACGAGCCGAGCCCGGACATCGGCCAATCGCCCTGTTCTCCTAAACCTTCGCGTGGCAGCGATCAGCCCAGGGATAGAAGACCACCAACGACAGTGTCGACGAGGTCAAGCCGAAACAGTCGATCTAGCTCCTTCTCGCGTGCCCCTGGCCCAGGTCAGTTCCAGTCGATCCGCGACATCGTCGACCATACCTCCCCTCTGCAACAGCTGGCCAATCTCGACCATGGCTACCCGAATAGGGCGCTGGCCCAAGACCAGTCTCCCCTTGCTGGCAGAGAGCAGTCGCACAAGCATGTCAAGGACACCAAGCGGGAGGCTCCGCGTAGGGTAATGACCGACACGCCCGTTCAACGGCCGGGTGAGCAAGTCTTGCCTCCTACGCCCGACACCGTTTCCACACCGACGCTTCGCAGGTTCAAGACGTCAAACGACACCCTCTCCAACCAACGAGGTGTGTCCGACCAGCGCAGCTACCGGTCCAGTTCCGACGGCACTTCCAAGGAAGACGATGGCGAGGACCAAGGAGGCGCGCCGGTGTTGCAGCAGCCGCCCCGCTCTACTTTCGTAGGCCGTCAAGAGCCGGCCAGAGGGACTTACTTCGACACCAGAGCGCCGTTGATTCCTCGCCCGAGGTCGGCAGGAGAAACAACGGTTTCCCACCGCCACGACGTGGACTGGGACTCGGATGGGGATTCTGTTCACTCGCTCGACTCAAGTCTCGACATTTGGATGCAGCAAGGCAAAGACCCGAAGCACTTTGACGAGAACAGCTATGATTCTCCCGACCTTTTCAGCAGCATTCCTATGCCCGGCGGAGGGTGGAACCACAACACCACGGTTGGGCCTTCTGGCGATGGTACGTTTGACGTACTTGGCGTCGCAGCAGCAGCAGCAGCAGCAGCACAGTACCGTAATCATGTGGAAGACATGAATGTGGCGAGCAACGCCCTCTTCCCGGGTGCTGTTCAGCAACCACCCACACCGAAGCGAAGATCCAGTCTCGGTGCGACAGGACTGACAGTGTCGAAACAACCTCCAGCCAACGGAAAATTACGCAAGTCGCCCTCCAGGGCAGGATCTAGGCGAGCTAGCATCGACGCACACGCGGTTCAGCGGCCCGAGTCGGTCGCAAGCACTCCACAGCGTACAGAGTCAAAATCCGGTGCCCGATCCAAGGACAGCCACTACCCACCTTCGTCTACTACGGCTTCGCGTGGGCACCGTTTGAACTTCTTCAGGAGGTCCATTAGCGGCGGGCCCGTAACGGTCCAGCCCGAGCCTGCATCTCCCGCGGCCGAGCCATCTCCAACTGCGGCAGCAAAGGCCAGCACGATGGGCGTTCCGTCGTGGGTCCAGCGGTCTCACCTTTCAGACGACGACCGAGAAAGTGCGACGCCGCCTCCCATCATGCGAAACCCAAGGCCTGCTCGGTCTGGGAGCTTCGACGAGGGAGCGCCCCTCAATGATCAGGCCGCTTCCGCCACCACGCCTACAACGCCCATGGCGGCAACGCGCGCCGCTTCGCATACGCCGACGGCCAACGCGACGCCTCGTTCTTCAGAGCCGACTCCAACGAGCACCAACGGCGGCAGCGGCGGCGCTCCAGTGCAAAAGCACAAATGGCTCCCAGGGTTCAGCCGGGGGAGCAGTCTGCGGAATCGGGCTGGCTGAGGAAAAGCCGACGAATCATTTTCAACCCTCACACCCCGTAGGGTTTATGGGAGCAACAGGGCTGACGGGACTGTATATCAGTTTGCCCATTGCGGCAAACGAAAATGCCAGCAAAAGAGGCAAACCGCGCAAGGACTATTCGTCCTTTTTGTAACACAACGACTGAGCCCTTGCCGTGGGACTGGGCTGATTTTACGCCTGCGGTACGGACGAGCGAAAGGTCCGCTTTTGCTATTGAGCAAAGGCTGGATGGCGAGGGCCGTGTATGTCCAGCGGACGGAAAGGGAATGTTTAATATTATCAAATGGAAGGGGGGAGCTGGTGACCAGGAGGAAACGGCATCCTGGCGAGGGCGGCATACAGCGACCGACCGATGGCATGGCACGGCACGGCACGGACAGGACGGCGTCAACTGGATGGGTTTTCTTATTCCTCTTCTTTCTTCCTTTTATTCTTTAGAGGGAAGCTGGAGCGGTATGGACCGGCCCGAATGGAGGTTTATACCCAGAGGTCACCCTGCCCCCAAAAAGCGGAAAAAGAAAAAAAGAAAGAAGAACGAAAAGGAAACATTTACATAGTTGGGCAATAGAAACTTTGTAATATTCTTTTAATTCACTCGGATAAGAAAACATGCACGTTTCAAGAAGACGCTGGGCCTTGGGGTGTATTCTGATACTCGTGGCCATGCTAATTTTGGGAGATTGAGCTGGAGTGGTCTTGTACACCGTCTGGATGTTGCCCCGCGCGAACCCCATGATCAACTTCACGACATCGCCCTGGATAAAGTCGTTGCGCTTCGCCAGGATGAACTGGGCCATGGCCGGGTCGGCGCAGATAAGCTGATTCCGGACGGTAGTGACGATGACAAAGGCCGGACCGACGCGTTCGTGTATGGCTGTCTCGTTGAGAAACTCCCAGCCGAAGATAACGAGGGAGACGGACGGCGTTATAGACGCGGGCAGGGAGGACGCGCCGGAGGACAGGCCGAAGGGGCACGGAGAAGATCATGGAGATGGCCTTTGGCACTCGCGAGCGTTAGCTTAAAGAACGGGAGACGATGGGAGGTCTGGCGGGGGGGTTCATTGTGGTTTAACTCACGCTGTCCGGGTTATAGGGAATCACGATGATGGGCAGCCCCGGGAGGAGGACGGCGCGGTAGTTCTTTTGGAGTGTCCATAGGTGAGAGGCCACAAATAGGCACGAGAGAAGGATGAGCGCGTTGTAGACGTAACCTATGGTGAATATTAGCGGCGTCAGTGAGGATGAGAGGTTCATAGACTAGGATGAGAGGGAGAGGAAGGGAGAGACGTGAGAGAAAGACAAGACGGGGGGCATAAGGCCAGCGCTTCGCGTATCAGGGACAAACTCGCCCACTCACACCCAATCCTTCCCAGGATTTTTACGCGACCGATGAGGACTTGCCGACCTCAGTACCTATGTAATAAACATGGTTTTGCTCTGAGGAGCTAGCCCGGCTGCGTGATGCGGTTAAAACCGTCATAGGTAGACCTTAAACCGAGTCCGCAGAGCGCGCCATACAAAGACGGCCGCCGCCGCCAAGACCCACCACACAACCAGCAGAAGCCCGCTCATCTCTAGACCGATGTAGTACTTGTTTGAGTACCGCGTCACGTATCCCGTGCCCCAGGCCCAGCCGGTAACCAGAAGAGCCAGCCCCGGCCCACCTCGCCTGGGCTCCGGCCTGAAGGCGGACCGGGCCGCGAGGCAAAGGAGTGGCAAGAGTCCGTATGTGACGTAATAGGCCAGCTCTAAGTGGGATCCGAGGACCTTGAGGACACCGGACGAGGTTGAGGGGAGAAGGATCTCCCTCAGCGCCTGTCGGTAAGTTGGCCCGCCGCGGATGAGTTTGGCGTAAGCAATGCTGACAGCCACGGTGTGGACAGCCCTCGCGTGGACGTACTCTGCACACCCGAGGACCCAGACGCAGTAGACGACGGCCGTCACAACCATGGCCTTGTCCGCTTCGCTGTCCCACCGACGGGGAGTGCCGGCCACGGCGCCCCGCACGGCGAACCCGCCCACGATGTCCCCAATGACCTTCGACGCGCCCTCCCACCCCGCGCTTCTACCGAGAATGCCGGTCTCCATCTCCTCCTTGAGGAAAATGGCCGGGCTGCCCGCCGCGAGCTTAAGGGCCGTGATAGGCGCGCCGAAGCCGCCGACCCCGAGGGCGGGGAGGACCATACGCCGCACGTGGTTGGTGAGGATGGCAAACACGACGACGGCAAAGGCGCGCGCGAGGTGGGGGCTTCCATCGCTCAGCTCCGCGGGTCTTGCGAGGAGGGCGTGAAGGACGTCTGAGCCGGGCTCTGCCGGGAGGAGGAGCCGGCGTAGCCGCCGTCGGCCGCGCAGCAGGCGCGAGGTAAGCGGCCGGAGCTGGACGAGGGTGTTGTAGGACGCAGCGGGGACGAGCGCGAAGGTCGTGGAGTCCGGTCCCGGATCCCACTTTGTGGCTGAGGAGCGAGCGCGTCCATCTGGTGGTTCGTGGGCTGTTGGTGATGATATGGGCGTGTAGGGTGATGGGTGTGGTGATTTGGCCATCATGCGGCTGGAGGTGACGAAAGAAGACCGGGTTTGATTGAGTTTTTCCCTTCTGCTAGGTATAAATAACCATGTGGTGTTAAAACCTTGCATATGTGAGATTGGTCTCTGCTTACCTCAATAGTCACACCCCACAGGATCTTAGTGTGCAAACCCGTTCTTGGCGTGGAACCTGAGCTGTTGCTGCTTTACCCTGAGCTTAAGGGTGATCTAGGTAAGCGCCAACGACAGACAGCATGGTGGCGCAAGCTGAAGTCTTGTTTGAAGTCAAGGTTAAGAAGAAGAAATTCAGGCTAAGCCCTATTCGCTATGGCAATATAGAGCAACGCCGCAACCGAGATGAGTATCAAGTGAAGCTGGCCTAGCATATTAGTACATTAGGTCTATATCTTGTTATAGGAACATGCATGTGAATCGCGAATTAGGCATAGTTAAAGTGATCTGAGAGCCTTCACCCGTTCCTCAAATAGCACCAACTCCATGATCACATTCCAGTAAAACTCCGACAGCTCATGGCCGAACCTGTCACCCAGTTGTGGCCCGTCCCCGGCCTTCAAGCACCGCAGCGTAATAGCCGCGTACTGCTCCCGCATCCAACACGCTAAATCCGTCGACGCCTTCTCAATAACCGCCTTCTTTGTACCCTCAGCCGAGCGACCCCCATGGCGCGGCGCCGTCGTCGCGGTAATTTTGCTGATCGGTTGCCAGAAGCCAATCTCCGCTGGCAGCAGCCCTAGCGAGTAGATCTCGTGCGAGGTCGTATACCGTGGCCTCTCACCTGCCACCGCCTGGAGTTACGGATGTAGGTAGTACTCGGACAGCGACGAGCGGCCGCTTTCTACCTGAGATACTGCTAGAAGGCGCCCAACACGGCAGCCTCAGACAATACCTTCAAGTCCAGTCCATCAGCCTTGAATTCCGTAGCAAGGCGCTGATGGTTATGGACCTCGCCGCTGGCTTGGCTTTCCTTCATGAAAACGGCATCGTCCACCGCGACGTCAAGCCCGACAACCTGCTAGTCTGTGACAGTCTGCAGCGCAAGAGTCTGCAGCCGTGGGGCATTGCTCCGGTAATGCTAAAGCTCTGCGATTTTGGGTGCTCTGTCATTCTCTCAGACTATAATCAGGGCTATGTTTTTACCCACACTGTGGGAACGCCGGGGTGGATGGCGCCCGAGGTCGAGCAGGGGTTGCCGGTGGACTCGGGCTTGCTCTTCAAGACGGATCTCTACAGTCTGGGACTTGTGGCTGCGCACATATTCAAGAGTAGGCGGCTGTCGCCGAGTCCAGGTCCCGATCTCAGGACAACGCCTGCAGACGTTAGAGCTCGGAAACGCAAGCATGGTGAACGAGACGAAGGCGACGAGTCTGTTGATGGGCTAAGCATACTCGCGGAGCAGCCCGATGTAACTACGCAGAGGGCCAACAAAAACGACCAAGGTATTGGGAAAGGAACTACGGGACCTCTGGCCAACAGACGCTGATTTTTCTGGCAGTAGCACCTGGTACGTCAAAGAGTGCATCGCCGGAGGAAAGGAAACCCAGCCTGCTCCAAGATATCTTATCCTGCACCCTGTCAGCAAAACCATCAGACAGGAGGGATACGAGGGCAGTATACAACCTCTGTCAAGATGGTATATTGCACGATTGCAGTACAAAGGATGCTGAAGTTTTCAGCTAAGAGACTGGACTTGTTCCCCATTTCTTCCTGCTTATACTGATGTGAAGGTCCCCTTTAGATCAGTATTTCCAAACTTTCCGATGGGAGAAGCTGAGGCAGTAGCAGCCAAGAGCCAATTCATTTCGCCAAGAGTGCCAAATGTAGGTAGACATGCGTTATATCGTTTTGATGAATACCAGTCTAAGATTTCTGTCAGCTTGCCTTTGAGACTTCGCTTCGACCGGGACTTCTTCCTTGGCGATGTCGTCTAGAAGTTATGAAAGACTTTCAGCGAAGAGTTGATGACGGTACTGACGACGCAGGAAGCCGTGCTCTGCAACTCGCCGCTCTGATGTTAAACGGCTACCTAATCTGCGATCCTAACCAGATGGGCTTTGTGGTAGAGAAATGGCTGACCATAGCAGTTCAGTCAGGAGATCCTCTGGCCCTTTTAGGGACTATTAATATTCTCCAGGCATTAGGCCGCGAGGTTGGTCCTGCAATTCGACAACGGGTTCTGGAAGCGTTCCAAGATCCCGAGTTCCAAATGCAAGCCGTGACGGATATCAAGAGCCTCTTGTTGCCCCTGGCCTTTGACCCGACGACCAGGATGACCCCTGCCGCACAGTTTCCCCTGTATGAGAGGTTCACCACTCAGACCAAACTCATCGCCCTGCGCATTTGGAAGCGCGAGTTCCTAGAATCGTTTGCGGCTTTCCTCCAATCTCAGAGATACCGCCAACTCACAGCTGTGTTTCCCCTCACCCGCCTCATTCCACATGACATCGACTGGCCAGACCGAATCAGCCTCCAACTCGAAAACTCCATGGTTCAAGAGTACATATACACGTCTAGTATTCGCCTTGGCATCATGGGGGCAAAAGCACGAGATGAGTTCGTTAATGAGCCCCTGGAAAAGGACATGGTCAACAGCCCAACCAAGCTCGGCATGACGCTTCTCCAGCTGACAGTTCGTCGAAACGACCTGGGAATGGCTTCTCTGCTCCTGGAGACTCTGAGCGCAGACACCGAAGCATACGGGTTGACACCGCGTTGTTCCCCTCTCTGGTTGTCCTGCTACCTCGGCCATGCAGACATGGCCATCCTGCTCATCGGCCACGGCGCCGACCTGACCTGCTCCGACTCTGTGCAGGAACTCACGATCCTGAACCTGCTAACGCAGCTCACCACTAAAGACGCTGTGATCGGTATTGGCTGCTCAGCGCTCGCGGCCGGCGTCGATATCAACGCCCGCTCATAAAACTATATCACACCGCTATTGGCGGCCCTGCTGACCTTTGACTTCTCGGACGGCGCGGCTGTCGAGTTTCTACTGGACAACGGAGCCGATCCCCTCAAGTACATGGTCACGCAGCTGGAGGGTTTTGTCTTCCCAGCCTGCCTCTTGACCCTGTGCGCCTTCTATCTAGACACTGATGTTGGGTGCCCGGAGCGGGGCCCCAGGGGGGCACTGGAGTGGGACTAGGACTAGATAAACTAGTTACTAAAGGAATAACAAAAGGGGAAAACTTTATAGAAGATAGGGGTTAGAGGAGGTATATTAGAATAATTATTATAATTAAACCCTAACTATACCTATTACTAACTCCTTTACTTAATACTATCCTTACCTTTAATATATTTTAATATCTTTTTATCTTTAGGTATATTAACTACTAAAGTAGTAATAGTACTTATTAGATCTTAAACTATAGCCTAGTAATAAAGGAGCGCTATAATAAAATAACTAACACTTAATATAACTAAGTTTATACTAGTAAATAAGTAGTATACTATTAACTTAGGTAAGCTATTAGAGGAAAAGCTAAGGGCCCTTCTAAAAAAGGAAGTAAAAAAAGTAAAAAAAAAGAAGATAATTAATTAAATTAAGGCTTTTTAAAGTAGTATATTTATAAAAGATATATAAAAAGAAATAAAAATAACTACTAATCTCTAACTAAAGACTAAGTAACCTTATACTAATATACTTTTAAAAGGATTACTTACCTTAAAGTATAAAAAAAAAAGCTAAAATAAACTATAAGAATTTCTATTTTAGTTAGAAATATATTTTAATATAATAAGAAATAAGTTTATAACTAATAATAATAAGATAAGATATATTAGTATTATACTAAAAAGTAACTTAGTATATAAATAAAGAAAGTATATAGGTTTTTATTATAAAAGTAAGATTAGTAAAGTGCTTTAAGAAGTTATAAAAAACTAACTAAAAGTAAATATTACTAATAATAATATATAAGCTTTTAGTATTACTATAAAGCTAAATACTATATAATAAGCCTTAAGCTAGTTATACTAATAATTTATTAATAAGTATAAAATAGTTAAAAAAAAGTACTTTAACCTTTAAATAAAAAAGTAATAAGTAGTTTATATTTTAAACTAAGTGCTTTTAGATCTAAGGACTTATATACTTACTAAAAGGCTACTAGCTACTTACTAAAAGTTAGATAATATAGTAAAAAAAGTAGAAACACTTACTAAGACCTATATAAGAGAGGTGTTAAGAAGATAGCTAAAGTAAGGTTAAAAGAAAAAAAGCTACTAAAGGGTAGTAGTATAACTAATAACTATAAATACTTTTTTAACTAAAGCTACTAGTATATACTTAATACTAATAGCTATAATACTAGTAAGTATACTTATATTAAAGCTAGAGGTTAAAAAAAAAAAAAAGTATAACACTTTAGCTAAAAAAGACCTAAGGACTACTTACTTATTATAACTATAAAAAGCTTAAGCACTAGTTAGCTAGGTGTAATAAAAAGAAGTACTATAAGTATAAATAACTTTAATACTTAAGGAGATAGTATACTTTAGTACTAATAAAAGTTAATAGTATTAAGCTTTTTTAAGATAAAAGACTATACTACTACTTTAAGGTAGATTTTTATACTAAAATAAGTAGTATATAAAAAAAAAGGAGAGTACTAATTAATCTTAGTATAAATAAAAATATACTATACTAAAGGATATTATATATAAAGGTACTAGTAAAAGTAAGCTAAAGGGGCTTAGTACTTTAAGGTATATAAAGAGGTAAGGCCTTAGACTATAAAATAAAGAGGGTAATAATAAAAGATATAAATAATATAAAGGTCTTAAGGATATAAAGCTATACCTTTTAAGTTAGTAATATAGCTAGGTATAACACTATCCTAAGGATCCCTTAGGGATAAGTAGTATAACTAAATATAAAGTAAATAATAATTAGTTAGATATACTTACTAAGAAAAGACTATTTCTAACTTATCTAAAGTAAGTAAGAAATTAAGAAGGTATATAAGAAGTTAAGGGCTATTTTAGCTTATTAACTAATAATTTACTACTTATAATATAAAGGGGATAAAGAAGTACTAAAGATACCTTATTATAACTAAGGAGAAAAAGTAAAGGCTAAATAAAATAGAGAAATAAAGGCTACCTTACTAAAGGCTTATAAGGAATAAGTATATATATTTAATATAGGCCTAACAGCCTAGCTAGTAGGTAATAAAGGCTACTTATATATAATTAATTTAAAGCTAGAGGTAGAAGCGCTATTTAGCTTTATCTACTTATTAGCTAAGAAAGAACTAAAAGAATTAAGAATATATATTAATAAGTTACTTAAGAAAAGCTAAATTAAACACTTTATAAGCCTAGTAGGGGCACTAATCCTCTTTATTCTTAAGAAGAGAGGTAAGCTATATTTTTATATAGACTATAAGGGGCTTAATAAAGTAACTATTAAGAATTATATACTATTACCCCTTATTAGTAAGATCCTTAACTATTTAGTAAAAGTAAAGTAGTATATAAAGCTAGACCTAAAGGATATATATTACTAAGTAAAAATTAAGGTAAGTAATAAATAGAAAATAGCCTTTTATACTTACTATAAATACTTTAAATATTATATTATACTATTTAAGCTAGTTAATATACTAGTAATATTCTAAGTATATATTAATAATACCTTTACTAGGCTAGTAGACGTTATATATATTATTTACTTAGATAATATCTTAATTTTTATAAAAAATAAAAAAAGTTATATAAAAGTAGTTAAGTAGGTATTAAGCTAGTTAGATACTATAAGGCTATATATAAACCCTAAGAAGTATATTTTTTACACCTAGTCTATTAAGTTCCTAGGTTTTATAGTATCTAATAAAAGGATTACTATAAAGTATAAGTAAGTATAAGTAATAGTAAAGTAGCTACTCCTTACTAGCGTTAAGGAGATCTAGGTTTTCTTAAGGTTTATAAGATTCTACTAGTAATTTATTAAAAACTACTTTAAGGTATATATACCTTTAATAAATAGGCTAATATCTAAGGTAGTAAAAAAGTAAGTAATAATATAAAAGGTAAAAAAGGCTTTTTATAAGCTTTATACCTTATTTACTTAGGCCTTAATCCTTTAGTATTTTAACCTTAAGTTACTTATATAAGTTAAGATAAATATATTTAACTTTATAATTAGTATAGTAATATACTAGCTTTATAAAAAAGTATAGTACTTAGTAGCCTTTATATTATAAAAGCTATAGAGAGTAAAACTTTATTATAAGGCACTAAAAGTAAAGCTACTTATAATCTATAAGGTAGTAATTTACTAAAAATACTACTTACTATATATATAATATTAAATAGTGTTTTTAATAAACTATTTAAAGTATTACTACCTAGCTACTAAGCCCTAACTTAATAGTTACTAGGCCTAGCTACTATAAGATCTATTATTATTTAACTTTAAGATTAAATACTAGCCTAAGAAGGATAATATAGTAAATAGGCTTTTATAACAGCTAGACTACTAGCTTACTAAGGAGGAGGAAAAAAAAGTATATAGCGTGTTCTTAGTAGATTTTCTTAGTAGATTTAAGAAATAGGTTATAATATTTAGATATAGTAAGTTACTAGGTCTTAAGTTACTAAACTAAAGATAACTTACTACTAACCTAAAAAATAAAATTATTATAGTATAACTAGTAAATAAGTAGGCTTAATTAGAAAAGTAGTAATAACTAAGTAGTTAATAAATAAGAGGAAAAAATAAAGCGCTATAGTATAATAGTAAACTATTTATCCTTAATAAGTATATAGTAAGGATAAAGTTACTAGTAGTATTTTATAATAAGCTAGCTAAAGGTTACCTAGAAGTAAACTATACGCTTAAACATATTAGATAAATATATTTTTAAAAGTTAATAAGGAAAGACGTTAAGAAGTATATAAGGACTTATATAACATACTAGTAAACTAAACTAAAGTACTACTTACTATATAAGAAGCTAGCGCCTCTACTAGTGCCTAGCTAGCTATAAGAATATATAACTATAGACTTTATTATAAAGCTACTAAAGTTAAAGGGCTTTAATAGTAAGGCGTATAATAGTATTCTAGTAGTAGTAAATAAGCTTATAAAGTATACTATCTACCTGCCTACTTAAGAAACTATTATAGTAGACTAGCTAGTAACCCTCTTAGTAAATAAGGTGTTCTTAAGATTTAGTATCTCTATAGTAATAATATTAGATAAAGGATCCCTATTTACTAGCTATTTCTAGGCAGTAGTATACTACTAGCTAGCTATTAAGTAGAAACTTAGTACTACTTACTACCCCTAAACAGACAGATAGATAAAGTAGTAGAATTAGAATATAAAACACTTCTTATAAGCCTTTTATAATATAGAGTAAGATAATTAAGTTAAATAGCTTCTAATAGTAGAATTTATCTATAATAAGGTATAGTATAAAGTAACTAGGGTATTACTAGTAGAAGCCCTTATAGGTTACGCCTTATAAAACCCTTATAACATAAGACTAATAGGATAGAAACTAGTAGAGGTCCCTATAGCTTATAAAAAGGTTAAGGAGCTAAGGAGCTAGAGGGCTACTATTATTAGTATACTAAAGTCTATAAGCTAGACCTATAAGAAGTAGTATAACTAAAGAAGGACAGACGTTAAGTTTAAGGTAAAGGAAAAAGTCTTATTATTAGCTAAATTTATTAAGTAGAGATAACTATTAAAGAAGCTA